ATTTTGCTCCCTCTAATATTTAAGAAACTGGATTTGTATCCTTCGACTGTAGTGAAATGAAAACCATAGATTTAGACAGTTTTCGTTAGCACAATTCTTTTGTAGCCATCTCTGTTTGCAATCACGGGTTTATTTTCTTGAATGATTTACTACCCTTGTAAGGACTACAGGTTTCCTAAGCCAAGTTCACAATCAGAAGTTTCTCACTGCTCTCAGCCGGATAGGTCTTAGTTAGGTTGCACCATATCACTACAGGCGGGAATGTTGAATATGATCTCAGAATGACTTCATATGTCACGCTCGCCTCCGTTACGTGTTGCACGGCGTATCCACCTGATGGTGAGCTCCTGGCTCACTTCTTCCACGTATGGATCCCAGTTCACCCCAAACTTGGCGGTAACACATAATTAACTCTCGGAGACGCCGATACATGCTGCAGGCTTCAGTTGAACCACTAGATATGAAGGATTCGTCGTTCTCTGTCGACCTCCGGCGTTTCTGCGATGCTTTCATTCCATCAACAATATCTTAATAATAATAGTATACTCTCATTCTTACATGACGGACGCCAGTTTACAGGCATCTTCAATATGATAAATTACATATACGATTAGTAAGCATATTTAATAATAGTAATTTAATAAAATACATTTTTTCCTACCTGTATAGGACACACCAATTGTACAGGCATGGATAAGTATTATTTAAATTAAATAAATTTGGTTCATGGTTAAATAATGTGGTTGCAGTCATTTTGTCTATGGGAACAACATGATAACTAGTCATTCAATGGAGCACATCAAGAAATATAGAAATATTGTCTTCGCATTAACAAAAAAACCCAAGTATGTTTTGGATGGATCACAAATACTTGGGAAAAAAATAAGGCTTGAAGTAATTCCTCCATATAACTTTGGTGTGTACGGTATCGAGTCCTATTCGTGATTTATATCCAAATTTGATAATAATTTAAAATAAGTAATATACTCAGCTTCTGTGCCGGTCCGCTGGTGGAACGGTTTTATCTCACAGCCTGTGTAGTGCAACATGGTTTCACCTGTATGTTGGACAGAAGTGACAAAACCGTGCAGGTCAATGATAATTGGTATGACAGTTTTGTTGCAGCTCCGGCACATCCATTTCTTAAAGACCCTTCACAGACCACACAGACTCACATGTCACATGCATTTTGTTTCAGGAAAGATGTTAAAAGAACACGTCACTATTTTGTGGTCAATACCTGGAGGTTCACATCCCACATGTAATGTAGGTGGCGCTTTGTTGTTTGCGGATATAAGGTGTGGGATATTTGCGGATCTAGAGAGGGAATCTATTTGTTGTATCCACTCTCCTTCGACGATGGTATTCAGATTATCATACCTTCGGGGTCCTCAGTGTGAAGGTCATGATACTATCGGCATGTTGAAATCACCTCCAACAATTTTATAACTGAAGGGAAGATTGGCTGTAACATTAAAATTGTTGCTGATTATGTTATCATACTCCCTGCTGGATGACGAGGGTCTGTACACACAACCAATAAGTATAGATTTACTTCTGACAACCTTTATTTCGACCAAGACCGAGTCATGGAGTTGCTACACAACTGGGCTAATGAACTAGGTTGCACACATTGACTGTCCAGAGTAAATTAGTGTTCCACCCCTTTGCCTGTCTTTGACCCCTCGAGAGAAGTTTTAGGCATCAGTTATTAGGCTGCCATTGGAGGTTTCACCTACGCAACACGTTACAGTGATCATCATCAATAACGCTCTGAATATGGAAGCTAATGTTGGTAGTGCTGTTTTTCGGAAACTGATCTGGTGTTTAGAGGGATAACAGACAAACACTGGCTACATAGTTTAAGTGAACCAAGATCATCTTGATAAAAAACGCCTTGGCTATCATCCGTATATATGTTTTTAGTCTCACTTACCACCAGCTTTGGATCGCTGGAAGACTTTGGTTAGGCTTGTGAGGTGGTAGTCAGGGGTAGTTAGTTATTACGATAAGGTATGTCATAAATGAAATCACAAATATTCGCATCGAGTTTCGACACTGTGCTAGCCATCTTCTGGGAAATATGCATTGTCCTGTTTGTAGACTCTTCGCTACCCCAGCAAGGAATTGATCTAATATCATGCATGCTGCATGCATAGTCTCAGATGTTTCTTAAACTGACGCTGGTAGAAAATCTGCTCGATGAAGCTGGTTGTGGCAAAGTAACTGTGAAAGTTATAACTGATACCAATATTCAATAATTTGTTGCCAAAATAGGAATGAGGTCTTCGTGAGTGACTGGAGCAGGTTTTATAAAAAGGTCAGCACATGGCCCCTACTAAATATACAAAGCGAATGAATGGATTTATTTGGGCTTATTTGGCTTACAGAATGCAGTCTGTGGCCGATGTTAAGGGTTTTCTAAAATAATATTTAGCTGACAGGATATTAATAGGGTGCTGGCTATCGATGAATTCGCGTAGTAGATGAACCAAAAAACACCGAGCAAATAGGCCTAATTCTAGGAGTTCCGTTATAACTGACTTCATCTCAGTAAGATGGGCTGAAGGTGCTTGAGAAGGAATTACTTTCTTGATCCTCTAACGCTAAAAGTTTTCAACGGACAACATAAATTTCTGTGGGAAACATAGCAGACTAAGTAAGTACTCACCGACATTTGGATATTATTATCTGATAATCACATAGCGAATTTCACGGGAGCTCTGCATGAATATGAAGCCCCTTCAAGTCGGCGTTATTCCGTGTTTCTTGAAAACAACGTCTCGTAGACATTAACTTTCTCCTCCACATAATCTATTGTTTGTGTGGAAGATGTTGTACAGAGATGAGTTGAACTAATAAGTCTTCGTCTTACTATTGAGATAGTGCACATGAATTTGAATTTCCTTTAGGCAACAGCTTTTATGAGGTCCGAATGTTGGTATGTTGTGTAAAGTCAAGTCGGATTACTTGTTCAAAGGGTCCACGTAATGTTTGCATTTCTGTCAGTGTAGCTTTTCGACCGACTGAAGGGTGGAAATGTGTCAGATATGCTGAAAATTCTTACTTTGTCAAGTCGATATGCTGCCCAGATACTTCTTGTAATAAATTTTGTTACCTCCTGTAAATTAGTGAAAATTTACTCCATACACTCTACTCCATTTATAGTAGAAAGCGTTTGATAAACCTCTGTGTGCCAAATCGCCGGCTAAACTGATAGCTTTTCGAAGTCTGTGATAGCCTACTCATCTGGGTAAAAATCACTCTTTTATCTTAGACAGAATAAACACGAAGTCAAAAATGTCCTACTGGAATACGATAGTCAGTCATTTGCCACAATGTTATGTGACATTCCCAGTGTTATTTGCTTGAATGACACAAAGCTGCGGATAACAACAAAATGTCCGGTGTTTCTGTACGCCAACACGCTAAAGATACTGTCATGCTGTGTGGAAGATATACACATCCGAACAGTGAAAAATGAACCTGAGCCTAGCACGAATAAAGTCTCCATGGTGTTTTTCTAATCGCTCTGTTTAGAGGCGGAATAAGGACGCATTGAGAAAATGACAGCAGTCTGTACATTTAGTCAGAAAAGAGACCTGTTCTGTAACCCAATGGAAATGGATTCATATATGCTCTATTTTCAAATCCTAATAAATAAATCAGAAATCCCGATATATTCTCTGACGATGTAAAGATATGGAGGGAAATTAAGTGTTCGGACGACTCAGATAGGCTGCAGGCAGATCTAAAGCTTCTGGAAGACTGGGCGGTGGTCAGTGGTATGATTTTCAACCTGCAAAAATGGAAAGTAGTAATATTACGCACCTGTCGGCTGCAGAATGCAAGTAACAACTTGTGTAACGTAAGCCTGTCGTGCACAACGGTGGGGCGTGACTTAGGTCTAGTTCTAAGGGAAAATGTGTACGCAAGCGTAAATTACATGGGGGACGTAGCAAGGGCGTATGCGGTCATACACTTTACACATTGGCAGTTAGGTGCACTCACTCCTGAGCTCTTTCTAAGGTTGTACAAAACATACGTCAGCCCACAACTTGAAGTGCATAATATCATTGCACTCCCACTGCCTAGAAGAGATGCCAACCTCTTGGAAAGAGTCCGAAGACGGGAGGTAATTGGAGTATTTGGTCTACGAAGTAAACGGTAAAGGCTGAAGAAATTATGCCTATTCACACTTGGCTACCGTTGGCCTTCAGGGGGGAATTGATTACTGCCTACAAGATAACAAATGACCAGGAGCACCCAAACAAATGTGTTCTGCCATTGAGTATGTTTGGGCTTCCTCGTGGAAATCCCAGTAGGATAGCTTACCAGAGGGCAAGGACACGGGTGCGCTCCCACTTCTACTCACTTTGGGTTTGCCGTCCCTGGAACTCCTTACGGTAGATATAGCTATGCAACCGTCTGTGGAGGCCAGATAATCATGGAATGACACAAGGACTGAGTCAAAATGGCCTGTCCACTTAAAATCCCATACAGCACTCAGGGGTAGACAACTAAATTCGTCGTTTCACTTCTTTAAATTTTCTCCCGTCTTAATCTCCTGACAACTCCAACTACTACACTTACACTTATTATTGTTACTGATATTAAATACATATATTTACAAACGTATGTACATATATCATCTTCGAATTTATTAGCTGTCTGTTTTTCCGCTTTCTTAATTTCTTTTCCTGTCTTTTAGTATGAATGACCTACGCTTACTATATCTATTATTATTATCTCTTTTCTTTTGAAGATGGCGAAAGGATCAACTCTATTCACAGTAGTAACAGTCTTATCACATCGCATACTACAAACAACATATAATTGATCCCAACACTATTCCTTTTGGAGTCAAGCAAAGCTACGACAGTCGAGTGGCGGTACGAACTATTAAAATCAGAAACTTTTACCTCACAATCAAGAAGCGAATACAAAGAAATCAAATTGGTTTGCAATAGCTCGTAAAAAAGATATTGGATATTGGTTATGAATTCCGCTCGTTTTGATATTATCAAGGTTACTCAGTTGACATCAAGCTCATCGTTCACTTATTTGTCATGTCAGGAAAAAAGGGCGATGAAACTAAATTCTGTGAACTGGCTGAGAAAGTTAGTTTGTGTATATGTTTTAAAACAGATAGGTCGTCATGGAGCCCTACTATTACACGTGCAATACAAATGGAAAAGGCTTACGTTCTGCATTGATGTCAGCCTTCAACTACTGGTTAAACGTCAATGAGAGTACTTTGAAGCTCATATCAGACGTCATACAAATGTTGCACAACGCTAGTTTGATGTGAGTTATTATAATTTATCCTTTCTACTACTATATGTCAATACGAACTCATTTTCTGGATATACTTAGTGAACTTAAGCTGCTATCTGATTTTTCCTGACATCTCACAAAACGTGAACGGTTTGTGGCTGTTTTTACTCTTAAATTTTTTCTTTCATAGTTTTCTACTTCTGAATTCTGTAAAGCATTCCTGTTACATTAAGACAGGTAATTTAGATGTGTGGCTTGGCAGGTGTTTGATATTCCGGTTATTTCACTTGAATAAGTAGCAAACACTAAGCTATAGCGGCTTTTCTTTTACATATATGTGGTGTTATCAAAAGGAAAACCCTGGTAACTTAAAAATTTGCAAAATACTAAATGTTTCGTGAACTATGTAAGCCCGTTATGACTTGTAAACAGTCTAAAATAATAGAGATTTGTGGCTCATCTGGATCATTTTGAATTAGCTGTCTTTAGCAGTCAATTTGTGTTCATGGATTCGTGTTCGAGAGGGATGCTCGCTCTGACCGATGCAATTTTTATTGCAGTTCATACAATTTACTTTGTAAATGGTATTACTTTTACCTTATTTTCCTGTTGGATCTTTCGGTCTGCACAATATCGTATGAATCGATGGTGCTGGTTTGTGCCATATTTATCCCAAGCGGCCTTACTATTCTAGCTGTTACTTCAGAGATTATTTTTAAAACATCATGGAATGAATTTTCTTGTAGTCTTTGATGATGGTTTCTTGTTGGTGTTATGACTCAAGCTCCAACACTGATGAAAGTGTTAGGATATTCGTTCTTTTTGAAGACGGTTAGTAGGTATTTTTATTCTATTCTCTTCAACACTGGAATGCTACATTGTGTTTGAACTCTTTTAAACAATGTCTGCACACAGTTTCTTTTATGGATAATTGGGTTATTGCTACCATGGTTGAGTATTTGATCTGTGCACGTTGATTTTCTATACACTTGTGTTTCTAAATTTTCTGTGTTGATTCTCGTGATTAAGACATCTAGGTATGGAATTTTGCAATCTAATTCTTCTTCTCTTGTAAATTTAATGTCTTCAAATATGTTGTTTATTAATTTGCGGGTGTATTCCAAATGATTTTTTTAAATTATTACAAATATATCATCAACATAACGTACGCAGACGTTTTGTTTAATTATAGGTTTTGCTATTAATTCTAATCTTTGCATAACAGTTTCAGCTATTAATGCTGATATGGGCGATCCCATTGGTGTTCTTTTCATCAGTTCGTATATTTGAGTATTAAATTTGAAGTCTGTTGTAACACAATTCTATGAGTTCTGTCCAAGTTGAACATTGCCTTTTTGTGTCCTCATCGTTTTAGAGTAGTTGTTGCATAGTTTCTTCTGCTAGTTCTGGCCCAGTTGAACTATATAATGCTGTTACATCAAAGAACACCATTACTTCATTGTAATCTGCTTGAATGTTTTTGATTTTCTCTAAAAATTGGATTGGCGAACTGATAGAACAGTCGCATGATTCTGTTAGGTGTATTAATTTTCTGAAAAGTTCATTAGATTATATGTTGGTGTTCCTGGCAGCGAAACGATTGGTCTTAAGGGGACGTTTGGTTTGTATAGTTTCAGTCTGCCGTAAAATCAAGGTAAAATAGGTCCGTTAGGTTTCATTCACCATCGACCTTGTTTTTTTGTAATTTGTCCTGATTTCGTTAGTTTATTCAATGTTATTTTGATTTTGTTATCTAATGTGATATAAACTATTACCTTTGGGTAAATCAAATTTATAAAAGGGAATTCTTGTATGAAATTCACTGTTGTTCGATCTTGTGAAAGTGATGATTTGAAGATGTATACGTAATTTCGGTATGTATAGATACCAGTTTCCAAATAAACATTCCTGTACCAAATCTCATGTCTTCTACCGTCACAGATGTCCACTTTCAGTCAGGAATATTTACTAGTAGTGTTTCACTTTGTATCGTATCATCTCCATCTTGTTCCTGATACTATTTTATGCTTGGTTTGTGGGCTTATTCCGCCCTTTATTGAAATTAGTGATGCTATTAAATTTAATTCTAGCCACTACCAAACAAAGCTTCTTGGGATCCAGCCTAGTTTTCATACCTAAGTTATATTGGTAAAAATTTCTAGGATGTTCGACTGAGTAGTTCCCACCTTTCTACAAGTTAAATTGATACCCAGTTCTGTAGAGAAATTATCATTTCTAAAATATCGAAAGCATATATAAAATAAAGTCACTTGCAGTATTCTATGTTTAGTAGTTATTTGTAAGTTGTAGGCTGCTTTCGGCTGTTTGGTTGTCCGTCTAGATACTTAACTTTCGGTCATGGGTTTCAACGCCTCTTCACTTATCGAAATGTGGCAGATAAGTAGCATCATTACCCTGCACACAATAGACATTGGCAGCTGCATGGAAATACTAGAGGTTGTTGAGTAACACTTTTTTCGAAATTTTTGAAGAAGTGACTTCTCAGAACAAAGCTGAAGAGAGGTTTGTTAGGTTTAAGTGGATTATGTGTACAGTTCTGAGCAGTCATAAAGTAGTCGATAATCCGTAGTCGTTTGTATCATTTAGCTAGTGTTTATTTGCAATAGAAACATCTACAGATCTGTGTATTTGAGTAAGTGGTCAGTACTTTTCTCAACTAGTTCTTATTATGCCTGATTTATCGCCGTATATATGTGGTCGCGGCATTCTTCTTCTCATTTTTAATTTTTTTAAACTTGTTTTTCAGCGTTGATGATATTGAAGACGGTTCATATTTACGGCGTGGAAAACCTGCTGCTCATCGTGTTTTTGGAATTGCACCCTCTATCAATTCTGCAAACTTTGTGTATTTCCTCGCCTTGGAAAAACTGTCTGTACTCAATCGTCCTGAGTCAGTTAAAATCTTTACAGGTACTTTCTATTATTTTATTATATTAAAAGAAATTCTTCTTTACGCTTTATTAATGTGCCTAAGCAATGCTACCTGCTTGCTAGTTGTAATCAATCTGTGTGCATAATGTGGTCATACAAGTGATTCAGTTGTAATGTAGAAAATAATACTGGTGAGAATGTATGCAATGTTTGTTCGAATAAACTACAACGAACATTTTTAGAATACGAAAACCTACATTCAGTCAACTGTTTGCAAATAATGACAACATTCTGTATTAGGCGTACCTTCTTCTTCATTTTATATCACCTTTCAATCTTTTTGGCTTGTCGGTTTTTCTTTAACGATTTTACCGGTTAAACATAAACTACCGTTACTTTTCCAAAACACGTCGGAATATAAATTGCTATTATTTTAGGCACAGGGAGTGAAGTGATAATGTGTGCCGATTCGCTTATTTAGGAAGTTGCACTAATACATGGCCAAAAATGACGCAGTCTGGCATATTTCAAGCAAGCTTTTTGTATCAGTACCGAGATTTCGTCAGCAGTTAGTTCATCAGGTTCAATGCAACCTGCTAAATAAACGAGATGATCAACACACTCAACCTTTTCACTCCCTATCCTTAAACTTGGAGTCGATTCAGGTGGAACTTGCGACATCTGAAATATGCTGTGGTGGCTGCATGCCAAACACTTAAGTTTAAGCTTAAGATGTTCAGGGAATTCTGCGTTTTGTTAGTGCCTAGAAGAATAATATTGCTTGCATACTTTTGATCGACAAAACTTCTGATAACTAGCCATCCCTGAAACATCGAAGTTGACTAGGTTCATATCTTTTAATACGTCTGTAGTAAAACTGAATAAGGTTGGGTATCCCTGATGAACACCACTGGTTGGTATCCCTTCGAATAAAAACCCTTTTTGTAAGCTCTTAAACGATCTCATAATTTCAAGTAGAATCTTATTTTGGACATAACGTTCACAGTCAAACATTACTGTAGCACTTCATGAAGAATAGAATATAAAGCTGACTTTGCGTAAAGAAATATGGCAAGTTTTGGGCACAGACAAGTTTACCTATTTTCCAGAACTTGCTGAAAGGTAGAGATGTGATCAATGCACCCTCTTTCAAGCCTAAGGCCTATCTGCCTGTCTTTTTCTGGTGTTTTTTCTCGAGCCCTAGAATCTGATATACTATGTTAGTCATATAGATTACCCTGTGATCATGAAAGAAAGATTTTTCTTTTTCATGAATTGTGATAATCGAGGATTTTCATTAGCATAATGAAACTAGTATTCTTACACACTAGCTACTATTTTACTTAATGTAGCCCATTATTTATCTCCATTTCATAAAGTTCTCGGCAATAGAATCACCAGGTCCCACTGCAAGGTACAGAGACATCTGAACGCCAAATAATCTTATTATTTTATCATTTTTGCTACTAATTCTACTTTTTAAAAATGGAAATATTCAACAATTTGCTTTTAGAACAGATGCTTGAATTACATCGGGGACAAGGTATGGACATACATTGGCGTTCTTCGTTTCAATGTCCTTCAGAATCAGAATACGAAGCTATGGTTATCTGTAGTAAGTTATACTCATGAAATTTATGTAGATATGTAAAATATGGTCTTTGATTGGATATTAGGTAGTAATCAGTGTAGTGCATCTAGTTTTTGGTGTTGATGCAACATGAATTCCACTAGTCAACTTTTACAATGTGGCCTGTATATTAGGCGACTCGCCATTACGGTGCTCTTCGGTCTCTCGTTTATTCTTATTGGTTTTCATTTACGTTGTTTACACGCGAAACTTTTCAAACGCCTTTTTACTAATTTAAACATAATAGTATAACATACTACATAAATCATAAATTTGATCGGTAGGTAAAATTCCTCGCTATCTCCATTGTTTCAAATTTGTAGTCAGCGGTTTTACTCCTTCAAGATTAGCCGCGAACTGACTTCAGTTGGAGAACCGTTGGAAACCAAGGAGCACTGGACAGTTGTTCCTTTCATGGTTTTGGGGGCTCTTGCGCGGTACGCACCTATGACTATACTACCAGAGGTCAGGTCCTAAGGTGAGCTTGTTGACCATTCACCCACTCTTATCTAGCTGATTTGTTGTTAAGACAAACAGAAGGTACTGGGGGAATCAATACGAGATGAGACAGACACTTTTTAGCATTGAAAGCAAATCACCAGTTGGTAAAATGTATGTTTGTATCGACTGTGTGGAAATGAATGTAGGCATTTCTATAAAAAACCATACCTGATTTGTCTTATCTACTCAATCTTCAACCCTGACTCTGAGAATTACACAAGGTAGTGATGTAACGAAATCCTAATATCAGCTTCAGTGTAAAAGAAAATCCTCAAGGTATAAGAAATTCTTATGTGAGGTAATTAAGAACACACATAAATCGCCGACTGAGGGATCTCTTTTGCACAACTTCACTTCAAAGCTGTACAGTTATCTAGTGAGTTTATACACACAGTGTTAGTTGACAATAGAAGTCCAGTGGTGATTGTTAGTAACAAAATTAGCCAGTATACAAGAAGTAACAACACGTGTGAATAATATTGAATAAGCCGACGCAATCGAGAGGATTCACAGCCGATTAGTTTAGTGCTGAATGGTCATTTAGTCATAGTTGATAGAAGGAGGGAAAATGAGGAAGTGAAGATTGGTTACAAAAATAGAAGGACTAAAGAGTTTGTTATGCAACAATTCAATTCACTTCTTAAATAAATGGACAGCTTTGACGTGCATTTTACAAAACGACATCTCTTTTAACTGACATACGTATTTGTGTGATCCATTTTCTTCAGAGCTACTAGTAGTTATCATAATTTTACGGCACAATTTAGCTGACTTTGCTCATATACTCATCAGTAATGTTTTCACACTTCTCATTTACACCACATAGGTCTGCTAAAAAATAACTGTGGATTTATAAATCTTTGTATGTGTTAACAATCACTTACCTGGAGGCTGTCACTGTTCACAATGATATATATTACTTCAACTTCTATACAGCTATTTGTAAGCTGACTTTTGGTAGCTTTCTTTGTCAGTCAGTCAGTCAATCCTTATGTATCTATCTACTGGTAAATAAAATCACTTTTTTAGAAAACGGGATTTCATTCGTCTAGTGTGTACTAAAAACTCTTCTAAGTTTCTACTTCGTTTGGTTACTAGTAGAAATGTACATTTCTATTTTCGATCTCTGCTTCTGATAGATCAGTCATCCAACAAAGTTGACTTGATCAATCAGTTAGTATATAGACACGACATTAACAGAGACAGTTAGTCTTGACATATATATATATATATATATATATATATATACATTTCTACAAGTAGTTATATAACTCCCGTACTTTTTATTTCAAAATCTTGGTTTACAGAAACCGGTGGTTTATTCGGATTAGGTGTTCGTTTAATGCAGCTGTTTTCTGATGTTCAAACGTAAGTTTATTGAAATTTTAGGTTGTTTTTAAAAATATATGTATCTGGCTTTGTTTCAAGAAGCGAGAGGGTTAGCCTTTAAATTCAAGTATTATTATTATTCATAATTTTGGTATTTGTGTGTTTCAAATTTATTCTTTTCTCTCATTACCCTTCTTTCCGACTGGAACATAGGGCTTCAAGTTTTTTTTCTTCTTCAGTTTATGTATCGGTGTTGTTTTTCTAGAGTAGGATTGCTAGCCTGTTGTTCAACTTTCCCGGTTTTTTCTTCAGGGTTAACTGTCGGATAATCAATTAAACTGCCGAGTTTCAAGAGTGCATCGGTCGGGAATTGAACCCAGACCTCCAGCGCGGCTGACAAGTGAGTATTCTACCGCTGAGTCATCGCGATGCAAGTTTAAAGTTATACTTGTCCATTTATCACTGCTCCCTCTATACTAGTCATCTTTGATCAACGTCAACCGACTAATGCACATAAATAGCTTGGCAAGTTGATACTTATATTAAGAAATGTTCCACACAGTAGTATAACAATAACACCAACAGTAATAGTAATATTCAGGCAATAATGCAAAAAGGAGTTTCGTAGTAATAGAATGATCAAAATAATCACCCTCATATAAGCATTGAAGGAAGTTTGCATCAATTAGTTCTTATTTTCTTAATCCTTAATGAGGCTATAAAACTTCAGTGTTATCAACTCACGTCTAGTAAAGAGAAAGTATTATTCAGTGACCATTTGCACTGAAACACACCTGTTATGTTAAGGGCTGATGATACTACCTAGCTGCTCAAACAGTGGTAGGTGGAGTGGGGTGTTCGAACCCGTGGTTTAGAGGTTAAAAGTCGCATGCCTAAAATATTCAAAGTTCCGACTCCCCTTAGTAGTAGTAACAACATCTAGTCACTGGACGTCGTCATCATTCATTCTTAAACAAGTACTATCACGTCGTCACGAGATACAGATAATTCTCTAGAAACAGCTGTTTTCGATTAATAAAAACCATTGGGCAAAGTAGATTACACAGGACTGTTTACAAATAAACATTGCATGATCTTGATCTTGGGCTTTCACATTCAGATAGCTAAATACACAGACTTTTCAAAGGGATGAAATACTCCTGCTTTACCATCCCAAGCAAGCTGAGTCACTGCAAAGAATAAGTTCACACTTTTATTTTCAGGTGGATCTATGAAGTGACTTTAGCGTGCTTCTAGGAAGCCTCAGTACTTGTCGTTCTTCCTAGACCCATGCTAAGGTAAACTAGGATTAATAAGTCACAGAGCAGTTCACTCTTAGACAGAAATCGTTTGGACAATAGGTGGTTGAGCTTACTTGTATAGGTAAGTTCTTCATCTCATGCTCCAGACGCCTGCAATAGTTGCTAGTCATAATAGCATATGTATCAAAACCCTGGTTCATAAGTGCGTTGAAGTTAAATCATTTAAAATAGCTTTAAAGCTTCAACAGTACTTGGCTTTGAGACCGTTGAATAAATATTTGGTAGGTTTTCACATCAGCACTGTTAGGTAATTGTTTCATTAACCGTCTACTGAGAGTGACTAAATAGGCAGGCTTCCAGAGGTTTCTGTGAACTCATATAAACCTGACTTTGATCATAAAAAAAACTTCACTTCACTTTTACGCGCTAATTTTGTGAAACTGGTGTGCTCCCCTATCAGCACACCTTCATTATTTATAAGTTAAACGTTATTTTTAAAATCTGATCACCTGCTTATTTATCTTTCGATGTAGGAATTATAAACCACTTTTGGATGCACTTGGTCTTTTCTATCAGATTCGTGATGATTATGCAAATTTGGTTGACATGTCTGTAAGTTGCATTCTCTTTAATAATCCAGGGACATGGAGTTCATCAAATAAGGTTATTATTTATTAAGGATTCAGATTTTACTGCATTTGATACTTCCCAGAAAACTTTACTAATTATTCTTTACAGTTGAGTATTCATTTATTTGCGTTCAGAGTTGAAGCATAGAGCTTCAAGCTTTGAGGTTTCTGTAGTAGTGTTGCTTTTACGGGATACCCGCCTCACCTCAAACCTTCCTTCTTATCTTGGCGAGGTTTAGGAGTGTGTCAGTCCGGAGTCGAACCTAGACCATGTGCGCGTGGCTAGCGAGAATTCTACGCCTCAACCACCAATGTGTACTACATGAACGAAGTACGAATAAATTCAAACATTAGAGTGTAGTATGTATTAAGTTTTTGAAGTTGTATTTGACATAATTATTTTGTCAGTCAGCTAATCGTTTTCATCAGGGCTTTTCTGTTCCTCTTCTGACTTCTTTTCCCCTGTACATTTTTATTTCTGTTTAGTATCATAATGCGAAAACGTATGCAGAAGATTTGACCGAGGGAAAGTTTAGTTATCCTATTGTCTGCGCTATTAACCATAATCCTGGGGATAATCAAGTAATGAATATCCTATCGCAGCGTACCACAAATCCAACATTAAAAGCATATTGTGTGAAGCATATGCTGGAATTGGGCGCATTACACCAGACTGCGTTAATGTTGGCTAGCCTAGAGGATAAGTGAGTATAGCGTTTCAGTCTATATTGTATTTTTACTTTATATATATATATTCCTCATTGAAAGTTTCTTGTTCCGTGATATCTGATGCAGCTGTTATTGTTTTTTTATTGTTTTTGTAACGTGTCCTAGTAAATGACGCACTGAAATTCAAATAAGACTACCACATCACCATACAGTCATTGGGTTGGAATCAGATGTAACCCCTCCTGGAGATGTGAATAGCCTGGTTTTTCTCCTTGATGGGGTCGTAAACTTGCACTACTGAAGTATCAATGCAGAAACAAACAACTGTTTAGCTATAGTGACTACTGAGTGGATGAATCCATGGGTATAAGGCTATTGAAAAGTAATAGGCAACTTGACTGAATATTGAATACTACTGTTCTCCCTCAAATTCCATTACCTTTAACTGAGTCACGAAATTGCCAAAAGACAAAGGCTGACCTGTGACTGTAAAAATGACTAGACAAATACATATATATACCCAACTCTTAAAATTATGCCAGAGCAGTGGTTAAATAAACTAAATTGATTGACTGTATAAGGTTAAAAGTTGTCCAATAAAATTATCGTCTCCACGTTAAAGCAGAAATTCATTCACTTTTGAGAGAATACCCTCACCACGTAGAGACCGTTTATAGGACTTAACTGGCACAGGCTATGGACGTGTGGTTACATGAGATTAGTTCGAGAAGGGGGGGGGGGAAGCTGGGGTTCGCCAACGCTGGTCGAACCAAGTTATATATGGTGGGATTAAACTGTGCGATCAGTATTAGGTTTATGATTTTTCGTAATAAACACTGTATTTTGTCACAGTAAACATTACTTCTACGCTCTCTAGTCGTGTTCCTTTCAGTAGCATTGAAGGGAGCAAATATAGTTTTAAGCCAGGAGTTAGTGCAATCTAGTCCTGCAGTATCATCTTACATTTGTAATCGTATACCAAACCATGGAAGATTTCTGCGCAAGGAGTTCAGAAGACAGAATTTTATTGATATGATTGACAAACAAGTTTATCGAGAATGTACGCTTTTCCTCTTAAAGAGAAAACACCGAACTCTGCCATTTTAGATAACAACTTTGATCTCCATCAACGTACTTACTACTACTACTACCTCTAATTGCCACGTTGTTCAGGTAGACTGTTACATCAGCTTGGTTTCCGAGCATACTGACTGATGCTATGGTACCATTTTATTTTGCTAAAACTGTAGTTGTTGCTTTGTTCACATACTGACTGAGTTTCAACATAGAATTTGCAAGAATTGCAGCAGTTCAAATTGTCGTATAGCCAATGGAACTGATTTTGAGCTATGTCAACCACAGTTTCAAGCCAATGGTTCTTACTATCTCGAGGACCTAATCCAGAGTGTCTACACTCCACCCTACCTCAAACCAGCGGTCAGATACTTCATGGATTGATGCTAGGTTTTGATTTGTCCACCTCTAATTCTTTCCGAACCTAATCCTATGTCAGCTAACATTACTCGACAAAGAAAACAGTAACTTGGCATGCATAGCTTCATAACCTTATCTGTTGGTCCTCTGAAATATTAGTGCTGTTTTTACACCGAATGACAGGCGTGTATAGTGCTGGAGACTTGTGTTGAACAAATAGATTTTCTTGAACTGATATGGATTAAGCAGTGTCCTCTGAAGCATTGAAACTAGTGGAGAAAGCTGTACACAAATGAACAGAACCATTTGCAATGTGTAAAACCACCATAGGAGCCACCCATGTGGAATACGTTACCGGCTGCAGGATATCCAGTGCCTTCAGTCTGTCGACCTCATTATCGGTGTGATAACAGCATAAAGGACTGTATTTTTTGGGTGGAAGATTGATTTAACGCTTCACTGAGGAGACGAAGTAGCCTGAATAGACTTGGAACAATCAAGTTTGCCCGGGGAAACAGAAGCATACTTATGTTGTAAGCGTTGCAATATAGATTTACTGGACGCGTGAATTGAACTGATGTCCTTTAAAGGCTACGAGACATGATTGGAGCAATGTTGAGGCTATCTACCCAGTCAAATGCACGCAAATCGAAATCATTACGGTTTGTTAGACAATATCATGAAGTCCGGTACCCACCATATACTGAACATGGCATTGAGTTCTAACGCAACTCCGAATGAACTTCTAGCAATATTTTCTGTTAGTTCAATCTACCGGTGCCCAAGTGTACAGTAGCACGTATCCATTTCACTCTGCTCTCTGTGATCATGTTTAGTTTTCCCCACGAGTGTTCATAGGCTTTCAATTCCTTCTCACACAATCTCCTCCATGTCACCCTTGGAAACCCAAGTAATGAGTCGCTTTCCATTTGGGTTCCACTTGGGCCAACCAAAAGTGTGATGTCACTTAACGTGTGCCCAATTCATCTCCATTTCTTTCTGTGTATTTATTGGACAATAATTTTCTCGTGGGTTCATTTCTCAAGCATCCCTTGCTACTCATTATTTCTGGTCGGCCATCTGATCTTCAGTATGGAGCGAAAAGGTCTGCAGGCTGTTAGAAATGATCTAGGTGACTTGCTGTCCCTGAACAATGTAGCAACACTGACTTGATATCAATGTTGAAGATCTGGATCTTTTTCTTGATGCTGAGTGTGCAGCAAATGTTCACACTGATTTCAGATAAATAAAGGTCAGTTTTGCTTTTTCGATCATAGCTTTGACATCCTCATTTGTATCCCCAGCTTGTGATTGAAAGAATGATGCCAACTTGACTGAAAAAAGTGACCTCCTTCGGATTTATTCCGTTGACTTAGAATATGCGGACAATATAGTCCTTCTAGGAGAGGACGCTGACAAAATGCAGAGTCTACTGAACACCTTGAGCAACAATCTTCATATGTTTGGCATGCGATTCGCCCCTGTAAAATGTAAGATGATGCTGCAGGATTGGACTACACCGACCCCTAGATTAGAAATAGGAAGTGAAGTGGTAGAGCACGTTGACCACTTCACTTACTTGGGAAGTGCCATCAGCCCCAACGGGTTGATCTCTGACGAAATCTCAGCACGAATACAGAGGGCTAGTTTCTCATATGCCAGTTTACGCCGTCTCTGGTGTAGACGTGATATCCGGCTGCCTATCGATCAAAGGGCGTGTGTACTGCCCGGGAGTCCGCTCCATCCTCCTTTATGGCTGTGTGACCTGGCCAATGAGAGCGGAAGACATGAACAGATTAGCTGTCTTCGATCATAGGTACCTGCGCTCTATATCCCGTGTGAAGTGGTATAATAAGGTGAGCAATATTGAGGTTAGGCGTTGAGTGCTGGGTAAGGAGGGGAAATCAATCGACGAGGCTGTAAAGCAGCTGCATCGATTGAGATGGTTAGGACATGTGTTACGTATGCCTAGTCATCGCCCTCCTCAATGGGCAATGTTAGCTGATATAGGGTCAGGCTGGAAAAGAGCCAGCGGCGGTCAAACGAAAACATGGCACCAGTCAATGAAATCTACAACTGTTAGTTTAAGCCACGTAGGAAGGTGTAGACTTCCTGACCAGTTGGGGTCCTCTGGACGGTAAAAACCTATGGTTGGAAACAATTGGTGACATGGCTCAAAATCGTTCTCAATGGCTGGTGCAGATGCATCCACTCCTTGTGACTTATGATTTCCAATGAAACTATATTGTTCTTCGTTATTACTATTCCTTTGTCTCACACCTCTGGTTACTGTCTATATTATGAATTTCTTCTCTTGCTTTGTGTGCTACATGGAGGGAGTGTGGCGACTTGAACTGCCGCACATATGTGCAAAGTTCTATGTCGAAAACCGACCGACCGATTTATTCCGTTGATGATGATTGGTGCTTTTTGTTGTTGGTAAGATATCTTCATCACCTCTGCGTTGTCTCTATGCTCATTTAAAGTTGCGTCTTCTCCGCCTCCTCTGCCAACTTATTACTTTTCCCTTGACGATCTTTGAGTTTATGTGAAATGAAGCTTGTATCATTCGCAAAGTTCAGGTTTTCTAGTGTCTTCTTGTCTACCCAGTCTACCAAAATCGAGAATACCACCGTTAACTTGTCTTACTTGCTTTGTCTTATTCCTGTCTTCACTTCAAGCAGTTGTCTAAGCTTCCTGTTGTGAATCACGTGGAATGTGGCATCATCATATAGCTGTGGAATGATGCTTATAAATGCTTGCGGCACTACACTGTGTAGTTAGTATTGAGACAGTTTACAAATCGCATCATGGTGGACACTGTTGAAAGCCTCTTCAAAGTCGATGTAGGAAGTTGATTGCCATCGTGTACCATTTGGACTGCATAAAGTATACCAGTAGTTCTCCAATGGATGTTGATTCTGGAGGAAAATTATCACCCCTATCCTCCGCAAATACACACAGCATATGAATGTTGTGTTAATCAATATCAGTCAGAAAGCAATCATTAAAAATAACTACACATAATGCATATAACTGCTTGCTATCCCTTTTTTTGTTTTTATTACCTTTCAGATGTCGTCAACTGATTCTTGAATATGGCGGTAATCCACTATTGTCGAATTTGATTGATAAACTAAGCGACTTACATCGTACACCTGATGGTCATTTACGACATATTACTGCTGAAGATCTTCAGTTTTCCTCACAGGAAACTGCAACCTACAGTGAAGCTGGTCATTCTTCTCGCCATCATTAAATGAAACAACAAAGAGTAATAGCATAATACTATTGCCAATAATAATAATACTTCAGTAAATTATTAAAATTTCGCTGAATAATAATGTCTACATTCTGTAAAAACGAAAGTGGAAGAATGTGATTTAACTTACATGGATTTCACCAAAGTGTATAACCAGTCAATATTCTCACTCTCTAATATGCCAATGTCTGTTCAATTCTTCTCGAGTTTGTGATGAAGTTTTTCGCCTATAAGCAAAATTATTCTTACCTTATTCCCAATATTATTTTTGTCTTTTTTTGAACAAAATACATTTTTTTCTAATTTCGCGAATATGTCTTCTCACATGCTGGCGTAATATTTGATTGTTGTTCTTGGTTGTTGTTGTTGTTATTGTTGCTGTTATCGTTGGTCGTGATGGTGGTGGTGATGTTAGTGTTTTTTGAAGGAAAAAACCTATGGGAAAATAACCAATGACTTGGCCGTTTTATTTCTTAAATCCTTTGCCAAACAAACTTGGCAATATCGCCGCGTGGGTGAGGTCGGTGGTCGATAGCTTTTGGGAATTCATTGATTTAAAAAGAGTATTTTTCAACATTAATTCGGGTTATATTGTGGAGAATTTTGAGAAGCATAGATTAATTTTTGCATGTTCCAACTGAACTTAGCTGTCGTACGATCTCCTCCACCATAAAGTGTTTTTTTCCTTCACGTTCCCCAGTGGAACATAGGGCTTCAAGCGAGTGGCTCGAAGTTTCTGTAGCAGTGTTTATTTTACAGGATGGGGTTGCTAGCCTCATGCCCAACCTTTCCTCATCACCAGTATTATTTCTGGCTTAGTGAGGTAAAGGAGTGCGTCGGCCGGGGATCGAATCCCGGACCATGTGCGCATGGTCGGCAAGCGTCCTAACCGCTATGCCACCGACATAGTTTGAGAGGGAATATTTTTGTTATTTTTGATTACAGCCTGATTTCACACCGTATTTTTGGTACAGGTATGGAATTTTCAGCATGTGATATCGGTAGCCCAAATTTTGCAGGCCGACCATTGATATCAGGTGTGTGTCGGCGGGGGACCGGATCACATGCATGGTCAGCGAGAGTCCTAACCACTGTGCCACCGACGCACATAAAATGTTTAATGACTGATTATTTCTCACTCAGGTAAAGTGAAAAAGTTCACTTGATATTTTTCAATCTAATGTCTTGTCAAATAGCTATCAAGAAAATAAATGGACTGCACAGTATAGTCTACTCCGTCCTGTCGTATACTGAAGCTGGAAGGCATTGAGTAACAGGCTTTTAGTCAAAAATACCTTCGTGGTTTTGTCCGAATATAAAGATGTCATATAATGTTAAATGTAAGTGTAAAGTATTAGATAAAGATGGCCGGTTAGTCGGTAGCCTAAATCCTTAACTGACTTAAGGCAACTGGCACCGTATACTGCGCAAGCTGAGCCACCATCTATCTGTCTCTGGGTTTTAACTTAAGTTGGCTTGTGTGTGAAAAGTGTTAAGAGTGGCTAGTCTGAATCATAGCTCCAATCAATTATACCTCTTGCCATGAGGTACTCACTGCATTACAAATTCTTTCTTTATCGCACATGGAAATTTCCACTAACTTCTTTCGTATTATTCTTTCTCCGCTTGTATTTTTTCCTATTTTTGTTGAGGAAATGTCATAGTTCAAAATGTAGGCATTTTATGAAAACTCTGTGCATCTGTCCTACCATACAATTTATAAATATTGTTATTACTGTTGTGTCTGTTAATTCAAATACTTGACGTCTAAGACTGAAACATTCTTCTGTGCAGATGTGGCTTAAATGCACAGTTGTTAGCCAATCGGTCAGGGATTTGGGGCCTCACTCCACCTACTTCAACCTACTCAACTGAGCGAAATCATCAGCCCTTATACGATAAATGTAGCTCTTAACCCGGTGGTGCATAAATTATCTGTTCTGCATAATTTCGTTTAAAAAAAGCATTCCCCTCATTTCAAGATTCAGTTATCTCTCACTACTTTGTATCTCCCACAGGTCACTATTTCTAGTGGAATTCTTTTCTATTGCTCTTTTTTCTCCCCGGAATAAGTAGTTCTGCTGTGATGTACGTTTCATTTTTTGTCTACTTCGCATCTACCTGGTTTCTGAAATGCATTTCAGCTGGTTCGTTGGAGGCTGAATGGTGAAAATGCTTACCGGCCACACGGGATCTCCTAGTTGGATTCTCGGCAGACCTCCTTTTAGCGAAGTCTCGTAATGCCATGTTTCATTTGTCCTTTTTTATAAATTGTTGGTTATATGTACAGTTTTTCAATGAACACCCCCCCCCCTGGCATCGGCATTCATGATATTGTTCATACAAGAACTAAAAACACAGATTTCATTGTACCAAAGTCCTTTTAGAAATTAAATATTTTTAATTCATAATGAGAAAAGAGTGTCAACTAAGGGCTTTGTATTGTCCATGTTTTCACACCTGATATTACTACATCGAATAGTAAGTACGCAATGAGAAGACAAAGAAATAGAACTCTCACAGATGAAGTATGGAAGATTATGTTAATAAGAAGTGAAGATGCTCTGACTATTACCTCCGACTGTCGTGAGAATCTCGAAAAGATAATCTATGCATTATTGCATATAACTCTTGGTGACAATTAATGGTAACACAGATTTCTGTGGGAACTTATATCACGTTTCCCCAACCTAATCAAAGTTTTGCTGATAAAGGAGGCAGATAAGTAGGCGCGTGTGTCGTATGCTGCCATTGTCTAAGACGATGATGGTTGCAATTTCACTTTTTGAATTCTTTATCTTGTCGAAGACTTCACACTTAGCCTTTGAATACCTCTTGTGGTGAGTGCTTCACTCAGTCGTGAAAATCGATTTTTTGTATACCGAAGTTTTTCTGTTCAGAAAATCACCTGGACCATTCTGACATTCCAAGTGAAGTGCTCGACCCCTTCATTTCCTATAATTACGGGGGTGTCAGGTGAGCCTGAAACAATGGTCCACAGTTGACAGGTGTGAAATATACCCCCAGACATCTTATTGTCACTGAAAGCATCCTAATAACATTGAATCTTGAAAGTATTTTCATTCAATGAAATTATGTAGATATAGGGATCTCTGTTGAAGTGATTTACCTGTCTTATTAGGTTGAGTAGTAGAAAAGAGAAAGTGCTGAAATTTCCTTCGAATGCTATTCAAACATATGATAGGCAATCATACGTCCTGATGCTATGAGGTGTTCTGCAGTATAGAGCTTCCAATAAGCAGATTTTTTTTACCAGGCATTGTTTACAGCTGAAGAATTTTGTAGACATATCTCGATGAGGTAAAAGCCACCTTAAGGTTATGATATATGGCTAGTGTCGGACCGTGACAGATAATTTCTGTGTTTGACTATGCACTCCAGATATTTAGGTACTGTACTGTACTGCTTTACCCAACTGTTCTGTGGCTTTCTCCATTGATACATAGCTCATTAGTTTAAACACTTTGTCTTCAAGAGTTAGCTTGTAAGGATTAGAATTGTCTTACGATTTTGACTGCGGAATGATATCAGTTAGAGAATCATTGAAAACCAGGGAGTGCTGGATAGCTGTTTCATCCTAGGTTGGGAATCATCGGTAGTGCGCACAGCAGTATACCACCTCGCCTTGTAACCGGAAGGTCCTGGGCTCGAACCCCACGAGATGTTTCGGCTGGCGGTGTTTTTATTTGAACTCAGTCCCCGGAACAAGACATTTATTTTTATTTATTTTTTTTAGTATAGCTTGACTCCACACAGTGTTTTTGACAGAAGCATGAAATTTTCAGCATGTGATATCGGTAGCCCAAATTTTGCAGGCCGACCATTGATATCGGTTGTGCGTTGGCCGTGGATCGAACCCCGGACCATGTGCATGGTCGGCGGCAGTCCTAACCGCTGTGCCACCGACGCACCAAGTTATGAGCCCCACTTATTGTGTGAAAGCTGATGATTCCATTCACTTGCCCAGGCTGACGCGGAATTCGAACTGAGGATCTAGATTGACTGAAAACAAAGTTTGACCACGGATTGATATCACTTAGAGGAGTATTGAAAACCAGGGAGTACTGGACAGCTGTTTCATCCTAGTTTGGGAATCGTCGGCAGTACGCACCCACCAACCAATCAAACACAATCCCTACAAAACCAATACTTGAAAATTAGTCCGAAGCTCACTAGCGACTGACTCTATTCGGGCAGTTAACATGGGGTTCTAGTGGGAAGCCGTGACCAGTAGGGTACAGCAGGTTGAAGATGAGGCAGTAACTCATCGAAGAAGACATTGCGAAGTGGTCGCGCTTTGTCGTGAATTGGCAGAAGTTAGAATTCAAGGACCATTGGATCGGGTCCCAGTGGCTCAATGGTCTACGAGCTCGCCTTGTAACCAGAAGGTGCTGGGTTCGAATCCCGGTGGATGCGTACTGCTGAAGAGTCCCAAACTAGGGCGAAACAGCTGTTCAGTACTCCCAGGTTTTCAAGTGGTTCTCTAACTGATGTCAGCTCATGATGAAATCCTCCATGCAATCAAAAATTGTTTTTCATTAGTGCAAACCTGCCTTGGTAATCCAATTTTAGAACTAAGATTCAGTTTACTTCATAGTATTTTCACCCCTTTTTTCCTCATCCCACATTCTAACATCATCTTCCTACTTCTTACCTGTGGCCTTAACCCATGAGTAATCTGACCTATATTGATAAAAATTGTAATCCATTATGTTTTGCCTTTATTTTAGATCTCTTCATCGGTGCACATCCACGACCCGACTAGGAATCTCAGTATTGTAAAATTAATGTCATGTTATTCAATATAGTTCGATATGTTTCATATTTGTGTATTAGCTCGCCACTCTCAGACGTCAAATCTAACCTTCTCTAGTTTGCTAGTTTGATGTAAACAGACTTTTGCATGCAGTATTTATTATTTTTTTGTATTATAGGAAAACGTGCGATGGATCCACCAAGTCAACCTGTCAGCGATGATCCGCCTGGTTTGCATTTATCGGATACCTTTGATGAGCAACATGTAATTTTCGATGTGTTATTCTTAGTGCTATATTTAAAAAACAACAACAATTTAATGCGTATTGTTATTATTATTATCCCCGCCTTAATCTATTGATTTACATTTATCTCTTTCGAACATAGCAGTAAATTAGATTGCTTTTCAAGGTGTTTTTTCAGCCTGTTCGAACGTAGCTCAATAGCTGATAAATAAGTGTACTACTCATAAATGTTCTTCTGTACTTAGTGAAATTTTTAAGTTATGCAATACATCGTGTAGTACCACCTTTGCAATATAAGTTGATAATGTTCATCTTCAAAAAAAAAGTTTTCAGATTTTGTTCTGAATCCCTAGAAATTCGAGTTAGGCGCACACTGTCTGGCAACAGCACTGTGTGTATAACCAACAGATAAATACATTACAGAACTTCATATTATTAATATTATTATTTATTATAGCAGCATTCCCTTGGGTTCAGAGTGGAACATAGGGCTTCAACAACATATCTCAGCTTCCTTCCATTTTCTGTCATCGTTTTCAACTGGGTCCCTGATTGCCCATAATCTCTCATTCCTCCATGTCACCTTCGTACTGACGACCCACTTATCGTTCTCCATTGGGATTCCACTCGAGCGATGGTCTGCATTGCGCGTGATGTCATTCAACAGCCTCCTCAACATATATCCGATCAATCCATCTCTATTTACTCCTACATATCTGTTGAACAATCGGCTCTTTCTCGATTGATTTCTTCCCAGACAGAATTTCTTGTTACTAATTCTTTCTGGCAGGCCAGCTAGTCAGTTGATCTTCAGTATGGAGTCAGTGAAGTGTGTAACTGTTGATAAAAGTCTGTAACTTGTTGGAAATCCTTTTCGTGACATGCAGTGCAAGTTCCTGATCCGTGTAGACGGACCGACTTGACATTGGTTTTGAAAATCCGAATCTAGTTCCTTATGCTGTCTGAATGACAGCTGAGGATTTCCAAACTGGTTTTCAGATTGATGAAGGCGTGTCTGGCCTTTCCGATTCTAGTTGGCTTTGACATCTTCATCCGTTCCTGGTGCCTGTATTTGAAACGATGCCTCCTAGATAAGTGAAGGAAGTAACCTCGGTTAAGTCTCTCACGTTGATGGTGATTAATGCTGGTTGTTGTGGTTCGTTGGTTATCTTCATCACCTCCGTCTTCTCTATGTTCATCTGGGGTCCTGTCTTCGTTGCCTGCCTCTTCAGCCGGTTTGGTGGTTTTCGCCTACAATTCTTCGAGTTTGTGTGACATTAGACATATATCATCTGCGAAATCCAGATGTTCTAGAATCTTCTTATCAGATTAACCTTATCATTTTCCTGATTAGAAGAGAACCAGTTATTGTCTTTTCTCTACGCATAGTTCATTAATTGAAATAATACATTTTATGTTCAAAATATCTTCCGATAAAGTAGTTTAAAATTGTGAACTTTTACGTAAACAGAGCACCGTGTTTCTTCACATTAAATAGTTTGCAATTACTGTTTCACTGAGAGTGACCACAGTAAATACGATTTTTTAAAAAGGGGGACATGGTTTCATAGTGCGACTGTGGTTTGTTGGTCTATACACTGGACTTCCAACCAAGCGGATCATGGGTTCGTTTTCAGCCATTTAGTGCCACATGGCATTACACCATACATGTGACTCATAGTCAACATGTTTGTAAGTGCAAACGGGTGTGGAGTAATATTTCATTGGTTTTTTTAAACATAGTTTAGCCAGTTATGCTAATCACACTGTGAATAAAACTTCTATATTCTCATGTAATCCACTTTCGTTTATTCAGTGCAAAATATTCCTTGAAACACCAATTGTTGACTGGTTCCTTTATCAGATATACTGCATTATAAAATCGGTCCATCCCTTGTAACCACAAATATCATTCCATGTATGGTGAGGTTGGGTCAGTGTGGACAACTAGCAATCTAGCAACTGATGTTTGACTAACTAATTTTCAGTTGACTAAGGATGTAATGACTGTTAATAACCTACAGGTGAAGGTTAGTAAAAAGCAAGTGCTTTCACCCGAATTTACTACTGCTCCGAAAATAACGAGGAACGACAGAGTAACACATGTCTGTGCCGTCACAACCTCATCACTTGACTTCCGCTACTAACTTCACACTCTTCGTCTAATTTCACTATTAGTGACCACATAGTACTGCCCAGCACAAAGAAAAACTGAATGCTATCATCTATGGTCGAAAATTGGCTAATATTTTTCATAATTCACAATCGCTGATCATATTTCACAGCAGTAAAAACGGACGGACAGAGAGAGCTGTTGTCCAATCAGTACACACACATCGCTTGGCGGGTGCCTGCGCCCAAGTTAATACAAACTAGCCAGTGCCCGACGGACATTTTGTAGGCGTCTTAATATTTCTCCAACAAACAGTGCTTCATAACTGTTGAAACTCCCAAAATTCAGTGGACTTCAGCAGAAGGCCTAACATTTAAGAGATATCAGATTGCCGTAGGGCTTTCACAACCCCTTTATTACAAGAATACTTTGACTGTTTTGTAAAATCAAGTGTGCACTCTGTGTTTCTTTCTTTTTCCTTTTTTTGTAAAATGTTCATCTCTAGACTAGTTTTGGATTGTTCAAAGCCTATAAAGAAGGCCAATTGGATTTAAATATTTTGAGCACACAAGATGCAATTTCAGCAACATCAACCAATGCAGAGGCTACTTCAGGGACGTCGTCGTCAGCAGCAGCAATCAGAACATCGAATGATAATAATAATAGTAATAGTCAACAGAGTGAAAATTCCAAACAGCCTTCCTTACCAAAATCTTGGTGTATGTCTTCCGAAACGAGTCAATCAGGGTCACCTAATAAAAAGTTGACTTTAGGTTTATTTTTCAAACCTAAGCCAACAACAGGCGATATAAGCAATCCGACTAGTGAGTCACAAACTCCATCCGTTGTACGCGTTCCTGCTGCAACTGTTGCTTCAACAGAGGAAAATAAAAGGTAATACAAATACAAACAAAATACTTGCTTTATATATAAATTATACTGCCAGTAGTTGTTGTGTTTGACATAATGTGAACTAAGCTAAGTAGAACTTCGTGGACGTCTACATCATCCAGAGAAGTGAGATATTCGGTTTTTCGATATAATATTATCAGACTTTTTCCTATCGTCTGAGGCTTAAAAAATGTTGAACATGTACTTTGCATGTGTACTGTGATCGTTGTGGCTGCTTTCGTTTCACAAGTGTTATCACGTTTAATAGCTATTTCGATTCCTTGAAAACCTGTTAGACAAAGTTTTCGGAACTGGGGGGAAGGAGTGAAGTAGTTAAGCACGTTTCATATTTATTTAATGAAACTGGAATCTCTGGTTTGTTGAACAACACTGTTATCTTGCCATCTTTGCACATCTTACTACTGTGAGTTGTATTGATGCCCAGTATTAAAGGTAAGCAACTTATCAGTTGTTGAGTGCCTGTTAAGCAAAAACACCTTATATTCACTTTTACAAATGAAGCATAAAACCTTAATTAATGATCTATCTAAGAACAGTATAAAATCTTCAGGGATGGTAAACTTATTATGTTGAGGTCAACTCATAAAAGGTGATTACTATTATTATTATTAATTACTCTATGTTGTGTCCGAAATAAGGCACATTTTGCAGACACTTTGAAAAAAATCAATACTCTCCATCGGTGAACTATTTTTAGCTATTAAATTATTTAAATTTCCCGTTATGCATATTCTTAGGTTTAAATTTATGCCTGTTTTTTTATTCCCTTACTATATGCACCGGTGGTTCAGTATCAGAATTCCCACATGTAAGATGATGTCACAGGACTGGACTACACTGACTCCTAGTTTAGAAATAGGGAGTGAAGTGGTAGAGCACGTTGATCGCTTCACTTATTTGGGAAGTACCATCAGCCCCAACGGGTTGTTCTCTGACGAAATCTCAGTACGAATACAGAGGGCTAGTTTCGCATATGCCAGTTTACGCCGTTTCTGGCGTAGACCTGATATCCGGCTGTCGACTGCTCAGTAGTCCGCTCCGTCCTCCTTTATGGCTGTGAGACATGGTCATTGAGAGTGGAAGACATGAAAAGATTAGCTGTCTTCGATCGTAGGTGCCTGCGCTCTATCTCCCGCGTGAAGTGGTATAATAAGGTGAGCAATATTGAGGGGAGACATCGATCGAGTGCTAGGTAAGGAAGGAAGGGAAATCAGTCGACGTGACTGTGAAATTACATCGACTGAGATGGTTAGGACATGTGTTACGTATGCCTAGTCATCGCCTTCCTCGACGGGCAATGTTAGCTGATATAGGGTCAGGCTGGAAAAGAGCTAGCGGCGGTCAAACCAAGACATGGCACCAATCAATGAAATCCACAACAGTTAATCTAAGCCACGTAGGGAGGTGTAGACTTCCTAGTTGGGGTCCTCGGAACGGTAAAAACCAATGGTTGGAAACAATTGGTGACATGGCTCAAAATCGTTCTCAATGGCTGGTGCAGATGCATCCACTCCCTGTGACTTATGATTTCCAATTAAACTATTTTGTTCTCCGTTATTACTATTCCTTTGTCTCACACCTCTGTTTACTGTCTATGTTATGCATTTCTTTTTATTTTCTTCTTCTCTGGCTTTGTGTGCTACATGGAGGGAGTGTGGCGACTTGAACTGCCGCACATCGGTGCAAAGTTCTATGTCGAAAACAGACAGACAGACAGCAGAATGCCCACCAGTCACATAGATAGTGTCTGAGTTGAACTCCCTGCCTTCGCACTCCTAATTCTTGCCTATCTGGGTAGTAAGGCTGGAAAATGGGGAAAGTTGGGAAAAACAACAGCACTGCTACTGAAATTTCAAACATCATGTTTGTTGAAACTCTATGTTCCACTCGGAACACATTACTTTTAGTGCATATTTATGCAAACAGGTATACGATGTTATGAAGTAGATTTTTAAAAATTGTGGAACTCATCTTCTTCAACCTCAAAGAGAGTTTTCAAATACGAGTTAACAGTGTAACGAGGTAAAAAACTCATGATATATACATAATTTGTGCTCTAAAATATACTCGGTATTGTCATACAACAAATGAATGTATAGTTGACAGGAAAAGTGTTCAAATATGATGGATTATTCCTTGTATTCAAATAACGCATACATTGTTCTATGTAAACTGTACGACCACTCACTAATTGGCTGCCTTGAGTGACTCTGGTTATACTTTGGTGTTGATTTTGCATATTTCAACATAACCAATAAGATCTATTGTGGCAATGATGCCTACTGTCCCCACTTTCGTTCATATTCATCGTAGGTGTACTAGAGTAATCGACACTGACTTTAGCGACTTATTGATTGACTTGTAACCAGAGGACAGTCTTGTGGGCTTAGAGTATGAAGATTATATACAGAGTCTTCTGAACAGCTAGAGCAGAAATCTTCTATGTTTGGCATGCGATTTGCATGTCATTTGTAAGATGGTTCTGTAGGACTAATCTGCATCGACGATCAGTTTAAAGATAGAGAGTGAAATGGCTGGACATGCTCTCAACTTGACTTATTTGGGAAGGTGCATTGGTCCCAATGAACTGGTTGCTCAGCACAGATTCACAAAAATTGTGTTACATTCACCAATCTATTGTGGGTGTGTTATCCGGCTACCGACCGAAAGATGAGTGTACTGATCAGCAGTCCGCCCCGTTCTTAATGGCTGTGAGGTGTAGTCGCTGGAAATGACAGATACGATGAAGCTATCTGTATTTGACCATATGTGTTTGCATTCTGTCTCTTGTGTTAAGTGCTATGATATAGTTAGTGATATTGAGGTTAGGAGTATAGTGGTAGGTAAGGAGAACAAGTCAATCAATGAGACTGACTGACTAATACTCGTTAAGAGTACCGATCCACCGGCTTTCTCGTCAAGGAAGGATTAGGTTGAAAGGAGTAAGCAGTCAAATAGAAATTTGGAATCAATTCATGTGAAGTCTGACTGTTGATTTGATCCACGTTGGGAAGGCGCAAACTGCCTGGTGCAGGTCCTTGTGACGCGAAGAACCAATGGCCTGAGACTGTTTTTGATATGGCTAAAAAATCCTTTTCATTGACCTGGATGCATTCTCTTTTTGTGGTTTCCTAGGTCCATTAAGTCCTCATACTTCTGACTGTTTCTCGTGTTAATCTCTACTCCTTATAGCTTCTTTGAATTCCTTGTTTTTCTCTATCCGTCATGTGCTCTATGGAATGTGGCAACTTGAACTGCCGCACTTCTGTCTGTGAGATCTCCGTGTATTCCTACTTTAATTTTTTTTCCCTTCACGTTCCCCAGTGGAACATAGGGCTTCAAGCTAATGGCTTGAAGTTTCTGTAACAGTGTTTATTTCGCAGGATGGGGTTCCTAGCCTCATGCCCAACCTTTCCTCTTTACCAGCATTATTTCTGGCTAAGCGAGGTAATGGAGTGCGTCGGCCGGGGATCGAACCACGGCCTACTTTATAGATATATATATATATATTATTCTGCATTTTCCCAAATTATTTCCACCTTGGCTATGTTCGATATTTTCTGTTTTCACTATCTGGAAATTTCGTGAGTAGTAGTAGTAGTATTACAGAGTGTTTCTTTCAAGTTTCAACGTTGTTGCTTTGAGTCACTCGTTAATTTATTCATTATAATAATCTGGTTGAAACTTAACACAAGAATAACAGGATGATATACTCTTTTAATACTTGTAGCAGCGGTCAAGCAGGAACGCTTTTATCACGTGGAAATGCTATTCTCGTCAATCAACGTCAGGTAACTCTTTAACAGTTTTTATTAATTTGCATTGTACTACTAATTACACTTCCTTCACTTATCTAGGAAGCACGGTTTCAATCGCAGGTAGTCAGAACGGATGAAGATGTCAAAGCCAACCAGAATCGGAAAGGCAAGATACGCCTTCATCAACCTGAAACCAGTTTGGAAATCCTCAGCTGTCATTCAGACAGCATAAAGAACAAGATTCGTGTTTTCAACACTAATGTCAAGTCGGTCCGTCTACACGGTTAAGAAACTTGCACTGCATGTTCCGAAAAGGACTCTTAACAGGTTGCAGACATTCATCAATATCTGCCTTCAATGGCTCAATACTGAAGGTCAAATGGCCAGAAAGAAATAGTAATAAAAAGCCTTGGTTGGGAACAAATCAACCGAGCAAAAGCCGATTGTTCAACGGATAGGAATGAGAAAATGGAGATGGATTGATTAGGCATATGTTGAGGAGGCTGTCGAATGACATCGCTCGCAATGCAGGCCATTGCTGGAGTGGGATCCCAATGGGAAGCGACGAGTGGGTCGCCGCTTTGAGGATAACATGGAAGAGATGAGACATTATGGTCAATCGTGGACCCAGGTGAAGAGGACGGTGGAAAACAGAAGAAAGTGGAGATGTGTTGCTGAATCCCTATGTCCCACTCGGAACCCAAGGGAATAATACTATTATTATAAGAATAGACAAATATAAACTGTTGTGCTTCAAGCTTTTACATTCAGATTCAGTTAATTCTGAGTGCCTACAGTGAAATTGCAGGTGTTCAACGGTACCCGACCGAAAGCTGCTACCTTGACGTGGTGGTCGGGCTTGAACACCGCAATGACCCAACAAGCTATACTGGCTGAGACTTATGTCGCTTGAGGTCCTACCATGCCAGAAAGGTTGTTTGGATAGCTGTTGGGCAAAAAGCAGTTACCCAACCCAATGCTATGACTCAAACAAAATCACAAAATATCATGCCGGATCGGTCGGGGCCCGGATTAACAACGACCGCGCTTCCTGCTGCCGTGTCACAGGGCAGAAGTGATAAATATGCTACTGAGACACCAAATGAAAAAGAACAAACAAAAACAGGCCGCGTGTGACCGGCTTCAAGCAGTTGTCCCCTGGGCTCTGCGGGCACGCAACCAACTCCCACGGTGTGGGCAGCGGGGAAGTAACAATCGCCCTCACAATCCGAAATGCACGCGAAACCTCTCTAACCCTCACTCATCTTTGTCTTCATGTCCATCTCTATTATCTTGCCTTCCTTCTACTAATGCAACTCCTCTACTTGATGGCTCTTCACTTCCTCTTCACTCTGTGTCCATTAAAAACGACGGAAGCCAAAAATAACCTCAACGGTACTTAAAGCTCAGTGAAGTCACAACTGAAAATCCGGTTAACTATGACATTATCATCTTGTCAAAGCCAGAAGTCTTGGAAAATTTGATTCTAAAAGATGGAGAATATAACTAACTCCATTTTCTTGTACATGACTCCTATTTACATCGTTCGGCATATAAGGTTGTTTCGTATATCGAGATGCCAGGTACAAGTTAAAACTCTTCCACACGACAATATCACCTTTAAGAGCAGTAATTTTGTTTTGTTTTTCTTATTTTCATTATGGTCGCATTAAAATTCCAAGATTAAATTTTTATGTCTGTCATAAATTCACCCTGATATATATATATGCATCGTACTTAATATCTTTTTCTTTTCTCTAACTGGTCTAGAGAGGCAATGCTGTCTTGAAGCAGATACGTAATGTTGCATGGGAATATGCAGATGTTGAACCTGATTTTGTTGTAGGACGAAATAACTGCGTTTATTTCTTAAGGTAGGTTGTGTTTGCTTATTTTGTCAGAAACCTTAAGTTATTTGAGGTGATGGGAATATTGAGCATAGATTCGCTTATTTAGTAATACTTTCTAACCTTGATGTCACTTAGTTATTGTAGATGCAGTGGTTGCGAAACGGTGTGTTGTGTAACATCCATTTTCAGTCACTGGGAAATAGAAACATTTAAGTTTTCTAGTTAGTTATTTACGACGGCGACCATACCACGTTGAAAGCACCACTTCTCGTCCGATCACCGAAGTTAGTGCGTTGGTGGCACGACGATAGAATGTTCGCCGACCAGGCATATGGTTCGGGGTTCGGTCCCCGGCCGATGCACTCCTACACCTAGCTAAGCCAGTAATAAGACTGATAAAGAGGGATAGTTGAGCATATGGCTAGCAACCTCATCCTGCAAAAATAAACATCGCTTCTATCGAAACTTCAAGCCTCTAGTTTGAAGCCCTATGTTCCACTCGGAACATCAAGGAATAAAAATTTCCCACAAAGTAACTTCACCTGCTCAGAAAAAAGGGAAGACTTGAGTGTGGAGCTAGGAATCCCAGCTCTTAAAATATAACTCTACTGTTACTGAAACTCCAAAACACTGTTCTCGTCCGAAGTTGAGGAAACTCCTCATGACGAGGACGGGTGGCGCTGGAAGGTGAAAACCTCCGAGAAACCAGTGGACTGATGAGCCATCTTTTGATGAAAGCAAAAGTAAGCGTGGCGACATAAAATGTCACCTCACATGTCTGAAAAATTGGAATGTATAACCTAAAAGTATCAGAAATCTGTGAGAGCAAATGGAATCGAAATGGCTTCTCCAAATTGTGTCAGCGAGAGAGTCAATAATCTACCCCATTAACCCAAACGACAATCGCGAACACACTCAAGGTGTGGAAAGCATGATGTCATCTAAAACATTGAGGGATCTCATAAAGTGAGGAGCAATCTACTCCAGGATAATGACAGCAAGCTTCAACTGAAAAAGAAAGCATTATTTAGTGCTATACACCTATATACTAAGAGGAGGAGAAGGAATTCATCAGAGAACTGACAGCAGTAATGATCAAGATCGGATGACACAGGAAGAGAATTTATAGAAAGTTTTTGTGTTTAGTGACTTCGTAATCCGACAAAGTGTGTACAAGCACAAAGATATCTACAAGGTGAGATGAGTTTCACCAGACAGATACACCGAAAATGAAACAGACTTCATCGCAATTTGAAGAAAGTAAAGATACATTCTACTGGGTACAATATCGAGAAGAGGTTCAGGTGGAGCTTTAGGACATTCATTATCTAGTTTACAGAACCTTCAACAACAAGCTGAAAGGCTTCAAAGAAGCTGGCGATAGAACATAACTCATCTTTCCCACTCAGAAAGTAAAGGACGGAGCTACAAATAACACTCCCAAAGCAGTCATCAGGAAAAAGTCGGAGATAATAAGAAATATCGCTGAAGAAACCTGCGTAGAAGAGTACTAGAACTATCTTTAAGCAACGCCGATGCAAACCTGCATAGACGTCTGAAGTGAGAAGAGACGTGAAACAGAATAGCTAACTACAGACATCTGGAAGCTGACTGAGGAGAGAAGATTGGTGAATCTGAAGTTACCCGATAAATATACATAAGGAAATACAGATGAATTCGAGACTTTCAAGTGATGTCATTCGTCTTATCCTGGGGCGTGAAGTAAATGAAAAACGACGAGTTGGGTACTTGAGGATGACATGCATAGGCCTCGTCTTTAGTTGGATGAGCAGGAAGCATAGCGAACAAACGTCGGATTTTTAACAGTAATAGCAAGTCACTTCTTCTGTATGCTTGAGAGACTTAGCATATCACCAAAAGCCTTTCGGACAGCCTTCAGACTTTTATCATCATCTGCCTTTTCTGTCTTTATTCTGGGATTCAGATGACCAGGAAGTATAAACAACAGAGAATTCTAGGAACAAATCAACCAAGAACCCATAACCCAGCAAATATGTCGAAAAAAAATGGAGATCTATATTTTTTATATTTATATTTTGATTTACAGCTTGATTCCACACCGTATTTTCAGTACAAGTGTGGAATTTTCAGCATGGATATCGGTAGCCCAAATTCAGGCCGACCATAGATATCGGGTGTGCGCCGGCAGGGGATCGAACCCCGGACCATGTGCATGGTCGGCGAGAGTCCTAACCACTGTGCCACCGACGCACAGATCTATCGGACACATGTTGAGGAAACCGTTGAGTAACATTGCGCGCCGGTCAGAGCCTCGAGTGGAACTCAAATGGGAAATGACCAGTTGGGCACCGGAGGGTGACATGGAGTAGATCGTGTGAGAAGGAATTGAAAGCCTTTAGGCAATCGTGGAGCCAGCTAAAGCAAGGCTTCAGATGTGTTATGGAAGTCCATGTTTCACTTTGAACTTAAGGGGGGTGGGGGAATAACAATAATCATGATCGCATAGGTATTACAGAAAGCTTTAATAACCTGTCTTATTGCCCTGCTGAAGATAGTGAGTCTTGCAATTAATAGTGTTCTCTGAGCTGGTTGGTTTAGTTGTGGAGCTTTCTTCGTCCTTCTGGACAGCATCTTCAGCGCAAGGACGACGAAAGCTCCGCAACTAAACCAACTAGCTCAGAGAACACTAATAATTGCAAATCATCCACATGAGCTACAAATTTTCTCTATTATAGTGAGTCTGTATTGCAGAAACTATAAAGCGTCTGTCTTGTTCTACTGTTCGCATTGTTTAGTCTGTTTCACGGAATAAGCAGAGTCTAACATCATAAATTAGTATGCTTAGCTATTACCTATTCTCCACTTACATTTAAGTGTTATTTTTACTCACTTATACTCTCTAGCCTGCGTTATCACAATTTAAATTCTGAGTATATTTTTGAACGATTACGTCAAACGAAACAACGTTATCAATTATCAGTGCTTTTGGTTCAAGTGGATGTAGTAAGTCGATAGACAGTAAAGTAATATTATCGAAATTTCTGTAATACTCTCTTTAAAATTAATTAAGTTTCTCCTTTCTTCTGGTAAACTACACTTCTTAAGCACCAGTAGTCTATGCGTTGCACTTGGTTTGTTTTATTAGTATTAAATTTTTTTCTTGAGGTTCTAATTAGCAAAACCAAGACAGAAGTCCAAATTCGATTCCCGGCTTTTTTATCCTTTAACGTTCCTCCTTGGAACATAGGGCTTCAAGCTAGAGGCTTGAGGGAAGGGGGTGCTAGCCTTATGCCCATCCTTCCCTCTTTACCAGTCTTATTTCTGGTTTACCAAGGTGAAAGATTACGTCGGTTGGGGATCGAACCCAGATTATGCAGTTCTGAGCTTCACCTAGTTTATTAACCGATAGAAAGGCAGGAGAAAGACGAAAGTTGGATGTGGGGCTAGCAACTCCATCAAACAACAACAGCACTACCACCACCACCTCTGAAATTTCAATAGATTGAAACCCTACGTTCCATTCGGAACGCTAAGGTATGAAAAAGCAAGGCCATTTAAAGTGTGAATGGACTGATGATTCTGAATATGTGAACAGTCCTTTTGCTGGATACCAACCAAAGTTACTCTGTGTTGTTTGATGATGAATGAGTTTTATACCCCGTCTATGACGACTCCCCATCGTGTTAACTCGGCATCTCGTTGTTATTCAGGCACAGTAAATCAGCTAATCAATATATTTCAGTTTACATCCAGTAAGACAGGAAGATTTAGAAAGAAAATCTTATTGGTAACACACACTGTATGCTATCATTCTTAGTCACATAATAGAAGATGGGATAGAAAAAGGCATTTCTAAAATACTGATCTGACACAAAATGAGGAGGAAGATTGATAACCAAAGTTTTCGACGCGTGTTTGCGCAACTATAGGGCACAGCGATAGAATGCTTGGCGACCACGCATTTGGTCCGGGGTTCGATCCCCGGCCGATGCACTCCTACACCTCGCTAAGCCAGTAAAGAGGGAAGGTTGGGCATGAGGCTAGCAACCCCATCCCGTAAAAATAAACATCACTGCGAATGGAACTTCAACCCTCTAGTCTGAAGCCCTATGTTCCACTGGGAACGTGAAGGAATAAAAAAGTGTTCAACCATATATAGACCAACATGCTGGAGGAAGAAATGATACAACAATTCTCTAAACACCTTGGGGGAAAAAAGTCAACAATACTCCTGCAAAAGAAGAAAAAATGACGAGAACTGTATTGACCAAGTTGAAAAGTTGTAGGTCTATACCTAAGATGATTGGCAACCGTCTAATAAAGAGAGGATATGAACTTTTGAAAACTGATGTACAATTAGCCATTTGGTAAACTCTGCAGATTAACTTGCTTTTACGATTCGTCCCACACCCATTTAACATTTGTTTTGATTCTTTAAGATTGAATAAAGTTTAGTCAATTAAATGAAAATGAGGTCTGGATTATGATGTATTCGGTCCAAACTCACCGATGTAGATGTAGATCCTTCTTTTTTTCTTTGTTGGATTGTACACAGCTAGGAAGAATAATGGTGTCACCTTCTTTTGTAATAACAGAGTACTGTATACTCGTAGTAAAAGTATGTGGTTAAAGTAATTCGAGGACTACTTCAACACTCAGAAGTGCAGTATCGCAAACATTTATATACCTCATTCGACAGCTATGTGCGTTGGTGCCACAATGTGAAGTTCAGTGAAGCCCTTTGAAGTGAAGACAGGAGTAAAACAGCTGTGTGCAGTGAAAAAAAAAAAGATTCTTAGAGGTATGGACTTCGCGGATGATTTCTGTCTCACGCAGTACAAGCTCGAAAATCTACAGGAGAAAACCAACGAATTGGTAGAAGAGGCAGTGTAGACAGGACTTCAAGTGAACGTAGAGAAGACAAAAGTGATGAAAGTACTACTCACCATCAACGGAAGAAATCTGAAGGGAGTCATCTATTTCGCTTACCTAGGCACTCAGTTTAAGGAACAGTATCCGAATTTGATGCAATCCATAGAAGTGGCGTTTGAAGAGATTCTGTGGTGCGGGAAATGAAAAGATGTGGGCAATCGTTCAGAGAGCAGAACGGAGTGGTGATGTGCCTCAGAAACCCTATGCTCTACTCGGAATCCAAGTGAATAATAACAATAATACTAAGTATACAGATGACTGGTGAATTCGTAATTGGAACTTAGGTTGTTCGTTTGTTCTCTGGTATATTTCTAAAGAATATTGATTGAATTAGGAACATGGTGACTAGTATGGGAATACATCACGCACATTTCCTCCCATTTTGGGACTCATAATCAGGGTGTGCCCTTCAACCCCAGTAAGACTCGAACCCTACACTTATCGTCTCAAACTCCAGCGTTATCCACTTGGCCATGAGAGCTACCTCTCGTGAAACTTATATCGGTTACTACTTGTTTCTTAATACATAGTAACCTAAATTTTGATTTAAATTGATGAGAAGCGTGGGTAGGAAGCGATTACGCGAAACAGCTATACTCATTGACTATATATAATTCTATGGTTTAGCCTACTCAATAACTATCTGGAAATTTCGCTTTAGTATTACTGAATATTATTTCAGCATAAATACATGTCCACACTTCATGCACACTTTTAATAATGGAAACGCCTTGTTTTATCTAATTCTAGCCAGATCCTTACTACCCCTTGAAAGAGCTGTGTAAAATTTGCTGGACTGAACGATTAACCCTCATGTTAGCCTGGTCGTAAGTTGATTTAAAATTTTTTCGACATAATTTTGTAATTTCAGCTTCTGTATATTGTGATGATATTTCCACTTTTTATATTGAAGCCTGGCTATATCTGGTGTGTGTAGAGCAAATATGTGACAATTTGATATACTAAGCAGTATTGTCATGTGTTACATATGTATGGGGACAATAGAGATTTCCATTTTGATGTTCCATGAAGCTTCCTTTAGATATAATAGAGAAGATTTGTAGCTCAGGTGGATGATTTTGTTGTGGTTGTGTTCTCTGAGCTGGATGGTTTGGTTGCGAAGCTTTCATTGCTCTACTGAGCAACATCTTCAGCGCATACTTCGATGTGAAGTGAGCTTTTAGAATTCCCTATGAGTTTATTAGTCATCTCTTCTAGTAACCCTGAACGTGATTGGTTGTTTTCGTGTGACATTTCACCCCCTAGTTTGTTTGTCTCGGTGCTTCGAAAAAATATGGTGTGTTCAAAAGCTTAAGAAAGGTCTTATAAAAGCTTTACTTTAAGACAAGGTAACAATCTTTTAATACGTGGACAGAGACTTGAGTTCCAATTTGTTTATGATACTATTTTAGTAACACAGCTCATAGTGAAGCAATGAAATGTGAAATCAAAGCAAATATGAGCATGAATCACTTTCAGTATGACTAACAATTTATTATTCATTGGTTTCAACTATGCCTAGTCACTGTTGTTTTTTATTATCTCACTTTCTAATATGTTACTGAGTAAGACACCCTTGACCAAGTGTGCCATGAAGTGACACCACTGTGTTTACGCGTTTACACTATTTTTCTTCGCAAAACCACTGTGCACTAGACGGTCAGTAATAGGAAATATGGCGCTAGGCGCCAGTAAATATTATCCCTTTGCGAACTGAGACTCTTATGGGGTTGGTTTATTATTTCAAGTGTTGATTAGCAGAAATTTGATTGGTGACAGCATCGATCACACACAAAATCGAAAACTTGCAAGCGAAAACCGACAAACTGGTCGAAGAAGCAGCAAAGACAGGACTCCAGGTGAACATAGATAAGACGGAGTTTATGAAAATAACCAACCAACAACAGCAACGGCAACATCCAGCGCCAATCACCATCAACGGGAGGGATTTGAAAGAGGTTACTTCATTCACTTATCTAGGGAGCATTGTCTCAACTCCAGGAGGAACGGACGAGGATGTCAAATCGAGAATCGGGAAGGCGAGAAACACATTCATCAACCTGAAACCAATCTTCAAATCTTCTTCACTCAGCCTGCATCAACAACAAAATTATTCGGATTTTCAATACAAACGTCAAATCAGTCAGTTCTTCTATACTGATCAGAAACTTGGAGGGTCACAAAGAATATTTCCAACAGCCTGTTGCAGACCTTTATCAACAGCTGTCTTCGTTCTATACTGAAGATCAAGTGGCTGGAAAGAATCACCAACAAGAAACTATGGGAAGAAACAAAACAAAAACCAATCGCCCAACAAATATGCAGGAGAAAGTGGAGATGGATTGGACACTCGCTGGGTGACATCTCGCGTCAGGCCCTCGAGTGGAAACCGAAAGGGAACCGGCGAGTGGGACGTCCAAGAGTGACATGGAGGAGATCGTGTGAAGAGGAGTTGAAACAGTATGGATTAACATGGATGCAAGTGAAAAGTACAGCAGAGGACAGAAGCAAATTGAGACGTGTGGTTGAAGCCCCATGTTCCACTAGGAACCCAAGGGAACATTAATAATAATAATGATACAGCATCGATCACGAGCTGACATCGGTTAGAGAGAAATTTAGAAACCATGACGCACTGGACAGTTATTTCTTCCATGTTTGGGAATCTTCAACAGTACGCACCCACCAGGTTGGTATCCAGGAGCTTGCAGTTACTAACAAGGCGGTAGACAATTTAGCCACTGAGACCCGATCCAGTTGCCCATCGGACTCCAACTTCTAGCAATTCGCTGTATGTAGCTCAACCGTTAGCCGTTGTGCCTGACCAAACTGTTAAATTGTCAGTTTGAGCATAATGAAAGCGTAGCTTTCCGCTTGCTACACTAGTTTATACAGTGTGAGTAAATTTACTTAAGTTGTAGGCAAATATAAGGTGTTAGTACTATTCAGCCTTTTCTGAAAGTAAAACATAGTTCAGTATTGTTTACTCTTCTTTTTTGTCATTAACAGAGTAGAAGAAGCAGCAAGGTATTTAGAAGCTTACAAAGCCTTAGAAAATAAACCACCTGATGGCCTAATGGCTGAATCAAACAACCAAAGTGATTATGCTGTACAGGTGACCGACTTCTTAACATCTGTTCGTCGGATAACAAAAGCTGACGCGGTATCTGCAATGGGAAAATTCGATGTAAGTTTGTTGACATTGCTTTTTTCTCAACGAGTCTAGTGTACAATGTATAGTTTTTGAAGATTCCTTTTTTTTGTCATATGAGTACACCTATCAAATAGGTGTTAGGCCACAGGCCTGTAATCTTATGTCAGTATCAGAAGTTTCGCTTTTTTTTTCCTTCAATGTATAATTTTTCAGACAGTTGCTGATATAATACGCGCTGATCAATCAACACTAGAGAAATGTCCTGGTTTTGGCCAATTGAAAGTAAGTTTGCGTTTCATTCAATTGTATATTATGTACGTGGTATATACAAGTATTTTGATTGGACACTGGTACCTAGTGTCTGACTGACTGATAGAATTCAGTCTGCACCAAAGAAAGGACTGGACATATCACACTAGGTACTAGTGTCCAATACAGTCAGTCCTACAGGAGGTCAATCGCGAGCCCGAATAGCTCAGTGATAACGTCTGATTGCAGCAATAGGTGACGCGGGTTCGAATCCCAGAAGGGACATGAGTTCCTTCAAGCTTACAAATAAGCCTTGCTGACGATTGCCAACTAGCACGAGAACTAGGTCCAAAGCTTCCTGCAGATTGTCTCCAACCATCTACATACAAGTATGTCATGTACAGTTTAGTACTACTAAATTCCTTGTAAATAGCCTCATGGATATTATACCTCCTCCAAAAGTCGATTGACTGATATCATAAAACAATAATTATTCCCTTTGATAAAAATTCTCTCTATGGAGTATGACAAATTCTTAACACTGACAATTTAAAAAGTGTTACGCCTGATGAGAAGTTGGATAGGAGGTGAAGTCTGCAATGGAAAGTCTGTGGTAATGTAGATGACAGCCTTTGCTATGACCAGCAATTTTCCTACTTTTTTCACATGAAAACCAATACTTTGCTTCTAAACAAAGAAAATAAAAATAAAAAACGAGATGTCATTCGATGTTTCTATACACATGAATCAAGCATATCTAACTTGTCTTTACATATCTTGTTATTTTCCAGGCCCGAAAACTCTGTGAAATATTTCGAATGCCATTCATAAAGGAAAATCGTTAATACAATGCAGTGAAGTGAAGTGATTCACAGGGAAATTCCTCGTGGAACGTCAGAGAAAAAGAAGTGGAACTCTTTTGAATTGCATTTGTCCATACTTCCTGTACTATAATTTATATAAAGCAATTAATAAATGCGTCAACTATTTTTGTAGTAAAAGCTGTCTTTTTTAATGCTGTACAAAGAAAGATTCTAGTCTATTTCTAAAGAAACTTGTGAACAGCAGGTTAACTTCCTTCTTGCTGTAATATGTGAATAACTTTCACCGTCGATAAAAGGTGTACTACTTGAAATTCCTGTGATCATCTGGCTGTTGACTTCTTTGATAACTTCATCTAGTGACAAAAGATTCACATGAAAGGCACAGCATCAAGTGTTTGTTATCCAGTGCATTAGGCTGTTAGCAATCCCTGTTTGTGAAACTTGATGTGATGCTGTCTCAGTGTTGAAAATTCGTTACCGTGGAACATTTCTAGTAAGTCGAGTAATTCAGCCACAGGTTTACATTACCACCCAAGCATTTTCAAAACCGTATCCTAAGTGAAATGATGTCGTTGTTTAAATTTTACGCAACTCCTTCCCTATAAACTAATTGTCTATTGATGTGAAAAGTTGCGTACACCACCCACACCAAGTGGCTGTGCCTGCTAGTTAGGCCCACACACCTGGAGGCTGTTTCGTTCAAATTCGAGCCGGTACAGCTGCTTTTTTATCTGTTTGAGGCCATAAATGACAAATGAAGGAAGGAAGGAAGCAAACATCTCACTCAAATCCAATGAATGAAAGGGAACTGTGGTAAAATTCCGCTTGAAACTATAAAAAGGACAAGTGGCGAATTAATTTGCGGATGTGATTTAACTCATATTTCCCTGTGATGGAAAATTGACTCAACAACATAAGAATCAACTATTCTTAGTTTATATGCAAAATAATATATAAATTAGGATTAGTTATCTATTTCACTTATAAGTTAGTCCATATTTCATTTTACCTGCCTGATAAAGTACGTAGTGGTACAATAGTTTTCAGACTGATACTTCGTTTACAAATTCGTACTAAGCTGATCACACACATACACACAACTTGGATGGTTTAGTCCTTTGTCGTAAACTCTTAGAGCTTTGACGCAAGTATGACTATTCACATGTCCTGGATAATCATCTTCGAATCACTCCTATGCAACAAATGAAATATATGGGATCATGCTGTGCATTGCATTTCATTAATCGAATGTCACATTTAATTACGCTCAATCTAAAGCGACAAATTTCACTCTTTGAATTTTTAATAGGCGACTTCTGTGGAAGACAGTTTTCTTGTGGTAAAAGGGAAACCTAATACTGATTCCACGTTGTAGTTGAACGTCAGTGCAGTTTTAAGCTCACTAAACACTTTCGTTGTTTCGACATGCAACCATCACTATGCTTCACTACTAGATGCTCAGATAGTATGGTGTAAGTGCCATTTAGCATACTTATAGATTATGGGATTATTAATCAACACAAAAACAGCCGACTAAGACTAATAATTGATAGCTGTATAGTTTCTCAAGAGAGTGATTAACAGCAGTCGGTATACGTGGGAGAAAGCATTTTGATGAAACAACTTCCTATTGTCGATGACACATTTGTAGTGTGCAACAATGCAAGTCATGCTTCCTACCTACTCAAATTATTCAACGACGCACATACAAATATTGAATTTACTATGGAACATGAATATGATGGAAAGTTCCATTTCCTTGACATTGCCATGCAACGCCTAGAAGATGGTAGTCTTCAGAGGTCAGTTTACCGAAAGCCGACATGGAATGGACAACACTTACATTTTAATACTTTTTGTCCAAATAGCTATAAACGAGCACTAGTCGAGACTGTACTATAGAGCGAGGAGAATATGCCCTTCAGAGAAACTAGAAGAATTTACGATTCTCGAAAAGGTGTTGAAAAACAACGGTTATCCCCAAAGATTCATTAACAAAAATGGAAGATATGAAGGCTCAAACATCAAACAAATCACAGTTGAAAAAAGCCTGTCTTCATTCAACTAGATTTTAAAAGTGAAAACATTGCAGCAACAAAAGACTGAGTACGTCACTAGCTAGAGCCTATCCTGCAGCTAAGTTGCTTCTTGTCCATCGAACAACATGCCCTTTGGTGCAGTTAAAAGTGGGCAGATACCCTTCTCATGTTAACTCTAACTGTGTATACAAATTTACATGTATCTGCGGGAGCAGTTACATTGGGAGAACAGAAAGAAGGCCACACCTCCGATTTTCTGAATATGTACCGAAAAGCCTACGTCTCAAGGGAACAAACTCTTATAATAGCGCTATTACCAGACTTATCCTCAATACGGGTCATGAGGTGGAAATCGCGAAATCCTTTAAAATTATCAGTAGACAAAGAAGCTCGATTCTCCTCAAGCAATTTCTACCAGACGCTTGAAACCAGATTTACGTGTTCAGAAAGAAACAGTTATTAATCTTTCCTTGCCCTGGTAACTGGGTGTCGTTATTCTCTCATTCGACTACGTAATCTTTGGCTTTAACCTCACCTCTTTGGTAGTGTAATTTTGCTTGTCTCTTGGTTCTATGTTCTGAGTTGAACTCATTACATTGTTACCTAATTTATTAGTCACTTAGCATCTTACGCATCTGTCGTCCCTATTACGTAACTTCTTTACTATTGTATGCATACCTTTTTGTTTAAACTCGAACTGCGTGTGTAAAAACTATATAAGCGCAATTTTCTGAGCACTGTTAACTAATTGTGGAACCTCCTGTCAACTGACACCATGAAAAATTTGCAAGTATGTTGAACTTTTCTGTACATAAACCTCATAATTTATTTAGGCTGCAAGCAGCTGATGAGAAACCAACGAAATAAATGATGGTCCCACATTATTCTACAAAAACTGTTGTTCTTGCTTTATTCAAATTCATGACATTGTTGCTTAACTGCTATAATCTTTTTCTTTTGAGTATACGAATTTTTAGAGCTTAAAAGAAACGGAGCCCTAAGAAGAAACAGTGAACCTGGTATCAGAAGACTAATTTTCAGTAAAATAGATTGTTGTAGTCTTTAGTGAAGTTACTTAGCGAGAAATCTACAGCCCGAATCAAAACACATCAGGATGACATATACACATGAAGCAGGTGAACTTTCTTCATCATGAATTAAAGTTGTAAGAAGTAAGTGAATCTCCTTAAACTTGGAAATTTTGTCCAATGTCCACCGACTACGTTGTATACTCGCAGAACTTGCGAGAATCGAAACGAACTTCAGAAATGCTGAATACGAAAAACTGTACAGCTACAGATACATTTATCATCAGCGTACGTATCAATTTGACTTTATCACTGTAATATTAAGTAAGAACAAAGTGATAGTATTTCTGCTAAAACATCCTCAGAAAATTTAGTGTCAGAAAAACAACACAAGTATGATATCTCTGCCCTATAAAAGTACTTTAACCCATTCCGAAATCTCCACAATTGATTGATAGACTTTGACATTTGCAGCCAGTTAGCCTAGACCATTAGGATTCTGCAGTAATATGAATATCCGTTAAGTCAGCCATGAAGAACATGAATGTGTAGAACCACGTTTTTTGATTCTTTTATTCATCAGATGATAATTTATGTCCGTCGCTTACTGTGAACCCGTCTAAAAATATAACATAACCCGTAAACACCTCAATCTCTTTCCCAAAATTAGTAATCAGAAATATATATGGATAGGAACCAGGGGAAAGTAGTATATCATCCTTTCCCACGAATCGTGTGATTTATCTTGTGATGGAGTTACTGTGTGGATCTATCATTTCTCACGAATATTATGATTTAGTTTGTGATCCATTCACCGTTTTTTGTTTCACCTCAGTCTTTGTCGGATCGTCAACCAATCAGAACAGGTACTTCCAGCCAATACGAACAATCCATTCCCACGGCTGTGAGCCAACTTTATTATGGTAAAGAAAATGTATAAATATCATGTAATGTTTCCTAAATTGTACAATATACAATATCTTACAGTCACAGGTCAATCATTGTCTTTTGATATCTGCGTGGCTCATTGAATCGGAAGGTACAACGGACAAATAGGCATATTAGCGTAGCAGTCGAGTTAATTACCGTTATAACAATTAGCAGCGCAGATACAACAAACTGGCGACGGGTTTATTCAGTTCAACACGGTTACAACATCTTTTCATTCTTAAAATATTGTGTCATTATATAGTAGCCAGATATATCTTAACAAATACTGGAGAATATATATCGGGATATTAAAAAGAGAAGCTCAGTAATGATATCTTTTGGGCTATTTCATCCTCAAAAGCTGTACAACCCCAATTATATACACAAGTTAACATAATTACAATTATTGTTTACTTCAACATCATAATAACGAAGGGAGATTAAAAGTGATAATAATTTTCAACTTAATATGAAAGTTTGAAGGTGTGTGTGGATATAGATTATGAGAGGCATAGAAACAAAATTACATGGGATTAGAAAATAATTGCGTAATATGTAAAGTAGTTTTTAACAAAGACAGGTATGAACAGGATGTGCATGGAAACAAATTGAAATAATAGATTTTATAACTGAAAATGAAGGGAATGAACAAACGAAAACCAAGAAGTCAAACAGAACTAGATCCGTGGTAAAAAGTAGAGGTTGGACTGGTTTCTTTTGAACACAGCTGCGGCATTGCGATGCATACAGCTAGTGCTTCTGCAGCTGTCTGTTTTCGGCATAGAACTTTGCACTGATGTGCGGCAGTCCAAGTCGCCACACTCCCTCCATGTAGCACACAAAGGAAGAGAAGAAAGTAGGAGAAATGCATAATATAGACAGTAAACAGAGGTGTGAGACAAAGGAGTAGTAATAACGAAGAACCACATAGTTTCATTGGAAATCATAAGTGGATGCATCTGCGCCACTGAGAACGATTTTGAGCCATATCACCGATTGTCTACAGCCATTGGTTTTTGCCGTCCCGAGGACCCCAACCAGGAAGTCTACACCTTCCTACGTGGCTTAGACTAACTGGTGTAGATTTCATTGACTGGTGCCATGTTTTCGTTTGACCGCCGCTAGCTCTTTTCCAGCCAGGCCCTATATCAGCTAACATTGCCCGTCGAGGAAGACGATGACTAGGCATACGTAACACATGTCCCAACCATCTCAGTCGATGTAATTTCACAGTCTCATCGATTGATTTCCCCGCCTTACCTAGCACTCGACGCCTAACCTCAATATTGCTCACCTTATTATACCACTTCACGCGGGAGATGGAATGCAGACACCTATGATCGAAGACAGCTAATCTTTTCATGTCTTCCACTCTCAATGGCCATGTCTCGCTCAAAGCCATAAAGGAGGACGGAGCGGACTGTTGAGCAGTACACACGCCCTTTGGTCGATAGTCGGATATCGCGTCTACGCCAGAGACGGCGCAAACTGGCGTATGCGAACCTAGCCCTCTGTATTCGTGCTGAGATTTCGTCAGAGATCAACCCGTTGGGGCTGATGGTACTTCCCAAGTAATTGAAGCGGTCAACGTGCTCTACCACTTCACTTCCTATTTCTGCAGCTTCTGCAGCAAAAGTGCGTCGGAGACACACTGCCTTTCGTAGATTTTTGTTCACTTTGTAAATAACTCTGAATGATTAGTCAGTTGAGATGTTGTGATAGGTGTTGACGAGGTATTCAATTATAGTGCTTCTGACTGAATCAGTGCCGCCTCTTTGCAGTAACGCTGGGTAATGTTGTCTAACAGGTTTTAAAAGGAAGCAGGTAGAGCCATCTATTAACTTAGTTCCGCAGGCGAATTGACATATGTATAGTGAAGTGTTTATATGCCAGAGTTTGTCCTTTACATTGCTCAAAAGCAATGGGCAGTTAAACAATATCACTCACAGTGTTGGTGCAGGAACGGTCTTCTTTATGGAACTAGAGATTCTCCTCTTTAGGATATCTACCGCTAAGTCTCTTCTGAAGAACAAGTTCATATATAGCATTTTCTTTGTCAGTGAACTGAGTTTTTCTTTTTTCTGCTCAGGTTTCATGTCTTTCTCCACAAAACGCTCTGGGTATTCATTCTGAACCAGGGTATTTTTGAGAAGAGCTCTTCTTCTAAGTAGTCAATGCCGTACATTCTTCTGATATGGTGAGCAAGTGAAATAACGAGAACACTTCTACGATTCACAGGTTTACAACTATAAAAGCATGTTAGGTGGTTATTCCATAAAGGCTTTCGGTAGACTCAGACTCCCACCATCTCTTCTTCTTAATATAGAGGTGTCCTCATGATAATTCCGATTTAAATTGCACCTTACAAAAATTTAATAGTTGCCATCTTTCAATTAAATTCACAATATAATTAGTAAAATGCGGACTACTCGTCGAAACAAAACAAAACGTTGAAGCAAAAGCTGTGATTGGTTTGGACCAGTGGTTTCGGGACTACTGGAAATGAACTAATCAGTGTTCTCCGAGACCCAGCTGCTACTCAAGTTTTACCTTCATCTTTAGTGACTAAAATGAGACTAGGCCTCGATCGGCGGCTGGGTTTTTTAACCTGACCTCTAGGCTGAAAACCGCAAACCCCAACCCTGATACAAGTAGGCTTTCAACTCAACATGAGCTTGGAAAATTGACGCTGTCTTAGATAGTTCAGTCTACGCGGAAGGTATCAAAAGGTCGATATGTAGTTTCTTACCACAAGGCATTTATTATCCCAAAAAAGGTGTGATATCTAACAGACACAAGCGTGTAACTTGACTATGTATTAAAAAAGAGCATTTGTAATATGACTTTTAATTATATTACCAAAGAAATACTACACTTTAAAGTTAAACATCAGTATTATGAAACTCTAATCCTAAGCAACTCCGAGTTCAGCGTCGCTAAACTTCGTAGGGTCTATTGAAGGTGAAAGATTCTACAAAAAGAAGTTAGTGTAGTATAGTATACTTACAAGGAAATCTGAAAAATGATTAATGTAGTAATACGTAAGCCATGCCCAAAGTACAGTCATCACATGTTGAGCTTTTTCTTCTTCTTTTATATCTCTTTCAATGTTATCACGGTAATTGAATCTGAAAACGATACACGCATACATAGGTACAGATGGTTAGTAAGATAAACATGTCTAATAGTAATGCATGTGAGATTGACATCAAAATAGAAATTGTTTTTGATGTAACATAGTGGTTCATCTCCTGCAGAAATATACGTATATGGCTAATTGGTTAGGGCAACTGATTTCAAACTAGTGGGAAAGCATGATGCAATAATTTTGCAGCAGCCAGACAGTATTACTAGTCTCTAAGCATTATTGGCAATTAATTTTTGAAGCACAAATATACTTATGATCCCCTAGTTGTACTCTGTAAGTGAGTCCAGCGTATGGGGAATGTAAAATCGACATTATGCACCTAACTGCTGTGATATAAACATACAATAAATTACCTAGACATACTTCTTACGCTTCAGTGATCCAGTAAACTGATGTTGAAAGAATTTAATTATTTTCGGATGAAACATCCTAGTTAGCAGAATATTTCAATTTAACCTGAAACTTCAGGAAAAGTGAAATATTTTGGTTAATTTAAGGAGTGGTACAACAGAACCGACTACGTTTACAGATGCCCTAAACACAGTGCAACTGAAAACAAAACACGACGCTACCTTGAAAATTTGTTAGCATTATCATATTAAAGACAGTTAAAGACTTTTATAACACATATATACAATCTCCACATAAAATTTAGAACAAATACCTCGGTTTCACACTGTAAAAATGACTTCTTCGGAGTGAATTTACGTTGACTCCACGAGATATATTATTACAACATTGAACAATACGTTTCAACCTTCCCAATGACATTTCGGTGTCAAGGAAACAACAGATTGCAAGCAGAACCCGACCCGCTAGTTCTGAAGAAACGCTTTAAAGTCACCAAAGACACTAAAAAAGTAAGAGACAACAAACGAGTTAACACTCAGTAACCTTGATTCTCAGCATTTCTATGAGTACCTCAATCACAAATAGTAGCAGTAGTAATAATAAGGAAAAAAAACATTGACAAGATAGATAATCAATAAACTTATGGGATACCTAAATGGAATTCCATGTACCACACCCATGTACGTCCACAACCCTTGACTGCCATAAATTCAGAGATATACAAATTAGTGGTGCTTCGGAGATCTTTCAGTTCATTGAATAAAAGTGTCAAGTAAGCTGAAAAGAGCCTCAGGATATTCAGACTAAAATCCGAACTTCTCGGCTAGCTTACTTGGGTATCTATAAAATAATATAAAGGGATATTCAAATACCCTAAGAAGAACGACTCAAAATACATCACTGACTGAAGTAACAAAGAAGGACTTTGCAAATGTTGAGCAGTTCGTTTTCACATTTAATAAAAACCCAATTAAAATTAGACAATAGAAAGAACTAATTTTATTTCACCTGACACCAAGCATCTGGGAAAGTAGTGGCTCCATATGTGTAGCGCATCACCAAGCCATTTCAACGGACGGACATTTCGCAGACCGAATATAATATAGTACTTAACTTATCACCCAAAAAGAAATCTCTAACGAAGAACCAAGGCAGTACCGGCCGGGCTGTTTGCAGTCACCCTTGTATTGCATGACCGGTTTTTTATGGCAACTCTAAATTACACATAAGGAATCCAGAGCTAACCTAGTAAGTCCAGATGACTCAGAAACTATTTTTACGGTTATTATTTGCGCACTGAATCCAATTCTTGTGACGCATGATAAGTAACATGTAGAATTCTATCATATATTTCTCACCCCACTTGGTTCAGGATAGAGTACTGCACTAATTAACAGATATGAGTACTGTCTTTGAGTACTCTTTATAGATGAATAATGGAGAACCACAATTACTGGAGCAAATAACTGTGAAACCAAATATGAGGAGAAACATGAACAGTTACACATCCCAAATTTTTATGTCAAGAGGTACCAAAATACCTGGCTTCCAGGTCCTTGAAGGGTGTTACTAAACGTCATTAACTCCGCACTGGTACTACCGCACACATTCGTCACCTTAACAGGAGATATAATGGATACAAAGTAGTAATTATAACGAACAGCGCAGAAGTTTAAATACGTATTTAAACAACCGTACGGTTGTCATAGAAAATTAAGTCACACGACGTGTCAACCGAAAATTTAGTTAGCAACTATTCATGCAGTTGCTGATGTACTACTTCCAATATAAATGTAAGGCAATGAAAAAATATTAAAACAAAGGAATTTCCACGTAGTTGGGTTCATTGCAAATTCCTAATACCAACGTACCGCAAGAGTTGTGTTGGCCGCTCTGGTAATATTCAATACTTTATGAGACTTCGTGCTACCAACAAATTTTATTTTTATTCTGTTACTTTATGCAGGGCAGATAATTAGTCGAAGTTGCATCAGTGACCTTAAAAGCACAATTAATTTGGAAAAGACCATTTATAAGCATCTTCTTTTGACTCGGTCCCTAGGGTCATCTTATAAAATAAACTTGCTGCAAGTCGAACAAAATGTTGGGCTGTTAACTGGTTGCATTCCTATTTCTCAGAAAGAAAGGTGTACATCGTGTATAAAGGGAAGCCTTCCACTTCATTGCCTACCGAAGCTGGTGTCTCTCAAGGCGCCGTCCTTCCTCCTTTTCTTTTTTCTTTCTTCTTATATGACTTGCCTCAGTCTGATGAAATAAAATTTGTGAAGTACGCTGATGATTTAACATTTTCAATGGCTGTTAACTCCCAGCTAGATTCTACCAAAATAAATAGCTTCCTGTCGGGAGTCAGTAAATGGTCTGAGTCTAACGGTCTTAAACTGAATCCTTCTAAATGTCAAACTGTTAATTTCAGCTTAAGATGTAAACGACAGTTAAAGGAAGTTGTCGATTCTCATGACAGTTGTAAGATTGACGACAACGATATAGAAATTAAATCAGAAATTAAACATCTTGGACTTATTCTCTCTTCTGATCTCTCCTGGTCTTCCTATGCCTTAGCGATCTCCAGTAAAATATTCCGCCTGACATTTTACATTAAGAAGTTAAGGCACTCGGGTATAACTCAACCCTTCCTCTTACAGTTCATAAACTCTTGCATCTTTATTGTTCATCCTTATTTTTTCCTGGTTTGCTTTAAAAGGACTATGTCACAATTCGTAGAATGCTAAAGACTGTCAGTAGGGTGAGTGGTGTCCCAGTGGACCACATAGTTAACGTCGTTGTCGATAGGCACTTGACTTCGTGTAATAAATTTGCTAAAGGGATTTTGTCTGACTTGGAGCATCTGCCCTACCCTCAGATTTCACCTTGCATCTCCTCAGGTAGAACAAGAAGTAACTTCAGAAAACTGAGTGCTCGCACGTCTAAGTATAAAAATTCTATAATACTTTAGAGGATGCAGGTATCGACGTTCGCGAGTTGTACGGATTATACTAACGCAAGATCTTATACCAACAACTTCTATAGTGTTCGTTCTTCGAGTACCAAATGGTAAAGCAAAAGACCAGATTTTGTCGTCCAAAGTACGTATTATATTTCGGTACAAAATCGCGGGTAGAGGTGAATGCTTAGCTAGCTAGTAATCGTGCACGCACGTGACACGACGGAGCACCAAATGGCGGGGATGCTTGACCGTAAGCCTTCAGCTAAACAAGTCGACTTAAACAGTGATGGTCAGCATCCAATGTTGAGTGATGATCGCTGTGGTCAATAATTTCGGGGAATTATTTACCGCTACAATACCATACTTGGCACGTATTTTATGTGATGAAGATAGTGTCAGGCAAGAATTGACTAACCCTTTTTCATCTAGTAAATAGACAAACTCCTCCATCCATCCTTATATACCTTCAGGTTCTACTTTTGTTAGTTCCATTATATTTATGGTCCTGTTGCTTCTTTGTTTTTACTTTCATAATTGCAAACACCAACTTATCCCCATGACTGCTGTAATCTTTGTCTTTCCCCCCACCATATCATGTAAAGAGAACATTATATTCAATGTTTTTAAACATGCTAGGATTTATATACCGCATCGACAATACTGTGTGAAATAAGCCCACGGAAATTTCCACTTGTATTATTATCATTACCTTAGCTGCTATCATTATTATTATTTCCATTTTACATGCTGCATGTTTTTGACATTACCCCTATTGTAAATGTTGAAAAATTTTCTGTGTAATTGATTTTATTTATAATTTGAGGAAATTAGATGCAATATTGTGGTTAATGCTGAAAATTCCATTCTGTATCACAAGTACTGTTTTTAGAATAAAGTATATCATTATTATTATTATACATATTTATTTATGAAAATAATGAACGCACTCCTTTGGTATTTAAAGTTTAAATTCAGATTAGGATTTGAATTATAAGGATCGAAGGCTCTTGTTACCGATGTTAATTCATGCGATATACATCTGTGCAGATTACATGTATCACAATCCAAGCCTGTGTTACATGCGGAAGCGCGGGCCTGATATTAGTGTCGAAAAATCAGGCCTTATTCTTTATGGTAGTTCTTATATATCTTAACATCGCTTTGAAGGTGTTGATTGTCTAATAGTCTGCCTTTTCTGGACCGACCTTTACATCCACGTGTTTTCTGCCGCCTGCAGTTAGAGCGATGATGCCGGGCTAGTAAAAGAGAAATATAGATTTCCTCAGTTTCCCCGTTGGTGGTTATTAATGTTTGTTTACAACAGTGGTTTATCTTCATTATCCGCGTCTTGTCTAAATGAACTCAAGTTTCTGTCTTCGCTAACTCATTGGTTTTCGCCTGTAAGTTTATGGATTTGTGAGACATGGTGTATAAATCATCCAAGAAGCTTAGGTGTTCAGCAGTCTATCTTGGTCCAATGTGTGCTTTCTTCGGTTATTTGTATGTTACAGCATTCCATAATCAGGAATATGGCCGACTTCAGTGGGCAGTCTCGACTTACTCCTATCTTCACTTTAAAGGCCTTGGAGAGTTTTCCCTAATTATTCATTTGGCATGCGGCGTCATCACACAGCAGCTGAATTAGGCTCATAAACGTTTGTGATGCATCATGGTGCTGGAGTAGGTGCAGAAATTTTTGCGGTTGACGTTACGGACGGCCTCTTTAGTGTTGGCGGATGCGAGATAAAGACGTGACTGACTTCCTGTCCTATCTCCGATGGTTATGCATCGCGTTACACTTTGGTCTACTCTTGATTAGCTTTCCCTGAATTCAACCTGTTCAGGGTGAAATTTTACATCCAGGGTGGTTCTCACTTTCCCCGGAACAGTGAGACATGAGATTTGGCTTGAGGTCTCACAAAAGCTAAGATTGAAAATCATGGGAAGTTTGACAATTTAGCCTTTCTTTTCTCCCACACCTGCGATATTAGCGCTGTCAGATAGGCTGATGTCTTTGGGTAAACGTTTAGAGCTGCTGGGAAGTTCCGTCTTGTCCTGCCGCTTTTCTGGCTTTCCATAACTCTGTGGCTTTCGTAATTGTTTCCTGTCCGGAAGGCTTGCGCTCCGTAGTATACCGGTGCTTTTTGATGTGGTGATATTTCTGGAGTAGCTGTAGATAATGGTCGAGAGTAAAGTCCTCAGAAGTGATAAACCTAGCCGTTACGTATAATGTTGCATCTTCAAATAATTAAGCTGCACTTAATGCACTGTTTTACATTTAGTGTTGATCATACAATTTGCTGTTCACTAGGCTGTAGCCCAATTTTGTTAGAATGCACAGTTTTGCCGCCAGCAATTTTCTCTTCAGCCATAGTACTCTTGGTGTGTGGAAGAGAGTTGACGTAATGATTGAAGAGTTGCTTTTTCTCTAGTTGTCCACTCTCACGCTGGTTCATCATCCCCTGCCAGCTCCAGGACGCCCGAAGGGAGCCACTGAGTCATGCTCCTTTTTCTTGCCTATAATATCTATACAAGTTCCCTTTAGCGAATCCTTCGAAGATTTCAGTGTTCTTCAATGCAAGTTTCCTCATTTTTTTGCCTAATATCTCTGGCTATTTTTTGGTAACTTTCGTAAACTTATCTTTTGTAGCTTCATCCCTCCTCCCCTGAGTGTTGAATGTATCCAGGTAAGTCGTCAATTCTCTTCAGAAGGCTTCTTTAACTAGCCAGTGATTAATCTGCCCCTAAATCTGCTCGTCTTCTTGATCCTGTGTGAAGTAGGCTGCGTCTCCCCTTTCATCGAATTGAAATGGAATCATCTAAATATATCCGTCTAGTGAAGCCCACTTCAAATTAAGCCCGCCTGTGTGCTCATAAACACCATCCCTAATCACCAAATCATTAAAATTACCAGAGTCTTCGAAGATTTCTTCCGTATTAGTCTCATCTCTCAGTTCGAGGTGGATTCTCCTCCAGTGTCTGCTGCTCTTAATTTATCACTGGTGATTATGGTAAAATTTATCCTGAACTTATCATATGTGATGGCTTAGACACTGACCTTTCTATTAAAATAAGTAATCGAATGACTCACCGTATTATTTTTAAAGAATAACTGTGTTTTCAAAACTTTAATCTTTAAGGTGCATTAGTGGGCAAATGAAACGGGAATCCTAGTCAGACATGCAGAAGGGTGTACGTCGGTGGTACAGTGGTTAGGACTCTCGCTGACCATGCATATGGTCCGGGGTTCGATCCCCTGCCGACGCACACCTGATATCTATGGTCGGCCTGCAAAATTTGGGCTACCGATATCCATGCTGAGAATTCCATACCTGTACCAAAAAATACGGTGTGAAATTAAGCTGTAATAAAAAAAAATTAAAAAATTTAATGTACAAGGAATGTCTTACAAATAGTAAAGGTACAGCTCCTATTCGGTTGCTCATCTTATCTTCTCAGTCCCATAATCACCAACTAGGTATGAGTGGCCATAGCATAATATGTTGTAACAACCTTACATCAACCTCCTCATTGAAATGATTTCACTGAGAATGTCGGTTTTCCAGAGCTATATCTAGGGTTTTCCGTTAAGTGCATTTCTTTTCATTAATGGGGTTAGAACTGAGCTCCACTGTTGCCATGACCTGGAGACGAGAACACGTGGAGACGGGAGACAAAACTTGGTCAATTTCAGAAAGAAAATGCTTGAGGAACTGTCGCAATGAGGCTATCCGACACGTCGTCTGTGTAGTAGGATCTTATCTGGCTCTGACCAGAGAGTGGGTGTTTACTCACGTGCCTCTGAGGGCCCTTAAAATATGATAAAGGGAGGAAGATGCTAACTAAAGACCTAACCACGTCCTGAAGAGTCCCTCACAGTTTATACAAGCAATGTATAAACGGATATGGTGTCAAGGTG